GTTTCATAGGTGGGTTTCTCGACTCGTGAGCTCGCTTTCATCGGGAGACGGAAGCTGTCGTCGAAAAAGTCCTATAAAGTTATAACCTCAACAAAACTCTTAACCCTCGCCCTGGCAGGGCATTTTTCATAACACGGCCTGGCAGGGGGGGGGGGGTCGATGCGACCCCCCCCTCGCGATTGGCTCCTATAGCACCTAGAAACACCAAATTTGGTAGGTAGGTGGGCCCCCTGGAGTTCTCGCCCCTGTGCAAATTTGGTTGCTCTAGGTCAATATTTAGGGGGGTTTTGGGGGGTATAAATGTAAAAATTTCGCTAAAAACAGGTCAAAAGTTTTTCGCTTATAACTTTTTATCTAATTAAGATAGAGCAAAAAGAAAAACACCAGTGAACTCAGCACGTCAAGGCGCGTCGAATGATATACTTTTTAGCTTCTTGCTTAAGTGTACCTAAAGTTTTTCTTAAATTTTAAGTAAACTTAAATTAATAAGTTAAGTTCAAGTTAACCAAATTGCATCATATCGCATATCATTCGATTCGGCTGATCACCAGGAACACAATGATACTATTTTTTAAGCTCTAGCGTCATTATGTGCCAAGTTATTGGCAAAAACGTCATTTGACCTCAGTTGACCTCATTTGACCTGACCCATGGATAAGTACACCAAACAAAGAAGCACCAAGTGACCTGCTATTAAGTACTGTGGTTTCAAAGCACAAAAGTGATAGAACGAAGCGGATATCTCCAGTATTTTCCGAATTTAGTATTTTCCCATAGGCTTAGCATTACGACGTAATGACCTCTAACTGACCTCAGGTCAGTGACCTCAAAAAACCCGAACTATATGTTATACAACTCGGTGAACTTAGCACATCCTGAAAGTTTGAAGGAAATCAGTCCAAAACTGTGAGTTGGGCAGGTGCAAAAAGAAAATTGAAATTTGACCATGACCTTGTACCGGTTTTTCTGACCTGGTGACCTGACCCAAGGTCACCCGGACCTGAAATTTTCAGGTCATATGTAAAAAGGTTGTCCCATAGGCTGTGCCAAATTTGGCGGCGCTGCGCGCCGCTGTTTTTACGCTATCTTCGAAAAACCTTAGGGGGGGGGGTCGCATCGACCCCCCCTGCCAGGGCGAGGGTTAATTAGTGACGCGATACATGCCGTCACGCAGGCTCTACAGTGCAAATACCAAGTACCTTGCAAGAAGGCTCTGAAATAATAGTTGACAGATGCTTGTCATCACTTGCAGATCCAAGGGGGACCAACTGGACTTAAGTCAGGACTAGGCGCGGCCAAAACGTCATTTGCCCCCCCCCCCCTTCCATATAGAATTTGTCCTTTTAAAATCTCCTCTGGACCGCAATTCAGAAAAGATTACAGACATGCATGGAAGATAAGTAAATAAAACCTCATTCCCAATCCCAATTAATCCAAGTAGGCATATCAAGGGGATGGGGGCGATTTTAACAATGACAACCTTCGGAAACCTGAAAAGAGTAATTTGCTCATGATTTTTTTTTTTCGTTCTTTCGAATGCTGAATGTCGAATGTCTTTGGAATGTTATGATCGGGCAATTGCCCCGGCATGATTTAACTTGCATCGGGGGTTTTGTTAACGAGAAGGGGGGAGGTAATCAGTACCTTCATCCCAGAAACAATTATAGAGCACCCAAAAAGTGGTCGGTTTTGGCCCCTCCCTTTGAAAATGGCTCGACCCGCCAGTGCCTAGCATGCTTGTGTGTATAATTATAGGACATCCGACATTGCATGACATCCAATTATGCACCTCTACTGCTAAGTAAATTGCCTTCATTTCATAAAATACTGAGGTCATTGTTCCTTTCCCATTGCCCACAAAGGTCAAGTGTGGGAAGTACCTAACAATCGCATAACGGCCAAGCTATTCATTCATTTTGCCGCATATTCGGAAATACTCGTTCACAACTCACAAGTATTATATAATCGCTCCAGTTGGAACACTTTCACTTACTGACCTAGCGCTAGAAAGTGCAGGCTGAGATCACACTCTTCCAGGACATAAACATCTTTCCGAAGATCTGGAGCCGCTCGCTCCCTGCAATTTCGTGAACAGAAGTCGAGAAAATCATGCTAGCTCATCCACACGAAAACACACCTTTTCTGGCCTATGACTCACGGAAACAGGACCATTTTTTTTTTAAACAATCACCAGCGCCGTGACCTGTCCAGTAGCGATGCAGCCGCAATTTCATGGTCGCCAGCGGTGACGGAGCGGGGCGGCGGCCCGACGTTTCCCGTCTGCCGCGCGCGGTAGAGACAGCACGCAGCAGCGCTCGCTGCGGGCCGGGCCGGCTGGTGGGGTGCCGTGCGGGCCACGCGGTCAGTTTGGCGCGCGGCGTGGAGGCGGCAGCAGCTCGCGTGCACGTTGCACACAGGTGCACGGAGCCGGTGCGGGCACTGCGGCCGCCCAGGACAGTGCTCGGGAGGGCTGGTGGTGACGCGGTGGGGGTCGATTGCTGGACGATCTATGGAGCTCTACTGGCCTGGAGGTGTGGTGCTGGTGAGTGAGAGATAGACGGTCCGTGCTTTAAAGATCATCGAGAGTGGGAGGGGCGAGGGGTTGCTGCAAATTGTTATCGTGGTGTCTTATTGCATTTTTGAAAAGGTAATAGCTGTAGACGAAATGCATCAGTGCCAAGTAGACATATCTTCTCTCACTAGGATCGGTGCACTTCAATAATTTCATTAAACGGCTCTTTTAAAAGCTTTAATTAAGCTACCTTTTTAAGTTGCAGTGCCTTCCTTAGCATGATATTTATTATTGATGTCTAAGTCTATGTTTTCCTACCTATCTGTGATGGTAAAAGTTCCGTTCCACGTGTAAGTCCTGTCCAGCTCGTGTCCTGTGTTGGTACCCTGCTGTCCCCGCAGCTTTTAAGTGACTGTCCACTGTCTTCTGTTGTTGTTACCTATTGTTGTTGTTGTTGTTGTTATTGTTATTGTTGTTGTTGTTGTTGTTGTTGTTGTTGTTATTGTTTTGTTGTTGTTATTGTTGTTGTTTTTGTCGTCGGATTAGGGCGCGTAGCCGATCGTCCACTGTCAAGTGCGTGTCGAATGTATCATATATACCTACACTATTCAGTAGGTACTGTCCAAGCGTCCAATGCCTTGACTGTGACTTGTGAGTGTCGTCTCACGGATAAACACTTCGCGCCGACCTAAACGCTTTCCCCCCATCAGCCGGGGTTCAATAATTAACAAATAAATATCATATATTCACTATTCAGTACCTACTGTCCAAGCGTCCAATGCCTTGACTGTGACTTGTGAGTGTCGTCTCACGGATAAACACTTCTGCTGCCGACCTAAACGCTTTCCCCCCATCAGCCGGGGTTAAATAGTTGACAAATAATTCACGGGTTCAAGCCATGCGAGCCATGAGTCAGCATTTTTATCGGAGATCACGTGACCGATAAACGGTACCAAGAGCACGAAAGGAACGAAACCTTCCTATCAACTTTCCAAGGTCACCGTTACTTCTCAAGGGCAGTAGGTACTTTAGAATCGGTCGATAGAAATTGCAATGTATGCAACATTACCAGTGGCGGATCCAGGGGAGGGCAAATAGGGCATTTGCCCCTCCCAAACGGCAAAATTTTAACATTACGCCTATATACAGTGCATGGAAAGAAACGCTAAATTGTTACGGTTTGCCCCTCCCAAAACTGTGAGCTGGATCCGCCAGTGAACATTACTTGCCATGCCCGGTAATCACTTGGTTCGTTGACGTCTGGTTTCCGACCTGTTTTAATCTAATTAACAATAACAACAGAAGAAGGAACAAATGACTTACGTTTATTTGTTACCTATTGCTGTGCTGAAAAGGGATCGCACGTCATCGCATGAGTGACATATCAATATCACATCGAATTCGAATTTTGAGGTCATTGGGACCACTCACAAACCGGAAGATGAACCGGTCAAGATGACATTATGGTTTGTGGGCAGGCGCTTGCGACCCCAGCCTAGAAACGTTTTTTTTTTTTTTCGCACAGAAAAGCTGACAGGTGGCCCGAATCCCCCTCCCCCCCCCGGCCACCCCACCATCAATAAAAAGATCAACGCACACCCTACTGCGGGGTGGTTTTTAAACATCATCCCATTCTCTTGCGTCGCTATGCGAATAAAGCCCCGCGATTTTTGACACACAGGTATCATCTTGCAGCTTGTCTGCAAAAGTCTGTTAAATTTCAGACCCAGGTCTTTTAAGGTCCGGACACCCGGTTCTAGGTGATGTCAAGTGACCGGAAAAATATGATTCTCAGTTCTCACCAAGCTGCAGTGCCCTGTGCCAGGACGATGGCTATGATGGCTGATGCGCCCCACTGCACTGGAGGGGCGGGGGTGGCAGAATCTGCCACCCTTCCGTGATTTACCTAGCTAGTAGCTTCTATAACTTAAAGCCAGCTTACGTCAAACTTTCAGTACCTACTTTATCATGCATCAATTAGACGTTATCGTTGAAAGCATGGTTGTCTCGGGCATGAACCCTCGCCGAACCTATTGGTTTTCTACATACGCGCCAACCGAGGGGGCCGGGGGGGGGGGGGCTCGCTGTTTCGCCAGTGATGGAGTTAGAGCGTCGCGGAAAAACGAGCGTGTGTGCCCTTACGAGACGCAGTGACTGGTACCCGATTTTAAAGTCTCAGGCCAGCCGGTGACCTCTGAGGTCAGGTCAACTGACCCAAGGCACGGGTTTAGTTTTTCATAAATAATTTCGCAAAAAACTGCCGCAGAGTCGCGATTGTAGCATCATCGTGATCATTTCGCTCAGGCACGTCGAATGGTAGGTATATTATTTCCGGTAATGGCAGAGCTTATATCTAGATTTGATAGCGCCACCATTTAGCAGCGATATAAACACCTAATTTCCTCAGCTATTTAGACGTAAGATGTGCGCCAGGCGTAACAGCCGCGTCGCGTTCGCTGTAAAAGAACCCTTTCAACGAGTCGTGTTCGATTAGTATGTCAGCGGCTCGGAGAACTGACCCACTCAATTTTTTATCTCAGTTTTTAAAGTAAAATTTTAGGAATTCTGCCAAAAAAATACTCAAATTAACGTTTAATATCTCATCCATCAGAAGAATGGAAAATACAGGGATCTCAATGCATAAATACATAAAGAATCCCAATTTTACGTAAGGATCGATAACAGAAAGCGTGCACATTCCATGCATTCGCTGGAAATTGAGCACGTAGTATTAAAACCGGCGAGGGAGGCGCGAGAGAGATAGGTGCCTGCGTGAGGCGAGGGCAAATTACTATTTATTGACGAAAATTTCAAGAAAATTTTATGAACTCGCTTGCTTTGGTGTCCTGAAGGAGGTCCGTCCACACTCATAGAATTCAAGGTGGGTGCTTGCTTATGATCTTTTTTCTGTACCTATCACTGATAAGTGCTATTCGCCCACTTCAGTTGGGGAAACTACGAGGAGCCAAACAAAAATTGGATCAGCCAATCAACGGCTGGAGTGGGCGGGGCGATGACTATATATGGTCATAAAATCAGACAACTTCGTCTTTTCAATGCATCCTAGCATTCAAATGAAAAAATAAGGCATAAGAATGTTTTCTAACCACACAAGGCCTACACTTACTCGGTGCACAATTAACTGGCGGCTCTAAATCGCAGAGTTACAACACAAGGTCAAACAGCGATTGGCAAATATGGCGGATTGAAACAGACTCGCCAAAAAATGTAACCAGTACCATGGTTTGAAAATGTCATTATTTTTATTATTTCGTTTATGGTTTTTCTAATTGTGGTTAAGTTATTATTTCAAAATTAAATTTCTTTGTTTATTGCAATTAAATTAAACCTTTTAAAAATTTTCTCTCAAAACACCATTCCACTTATTGAATGGCCAGCTGATTGTGACACCCAGAACCTGCAGAAAAGCCGTTTTCATATCACCATTTTCGAGTCAATTCAGTTGGGCAAACTAGACCTTTGGAATCAAACTATGGAGGCATCAAAAGATTGATTCCTTATGACCATATTTGGGCATAAATGCAGACCATTTCTAACTTACCAATCACGTAAAAATAAGGGAGTGTTTCAAGACAGAGCATGCCTGATCTTGAACAGAAATGCTGGAACTATCTCCTAAGCAAAATGATATTGCTCCTATCATAACAATTTGAATTCTATAGGTAGTGAAATGCAATCAAGGAATTGATTCACTTTAAACAGATAATCATAATATTGATTCCCCATCAGCTGGCTAATCATTATTTTGATTCACAGGTAATGTTAAGAGATAGGCAACAATGACTTGCAGGAATACATCATTTATCTTGCTACTATTCTAATTTAGTGGTATCCTCAGCACCACAACAGATACCTATAGCATTGTTGTAGTTAACCTTAACTACATTTGATAACAATTTACAATTTTTAAATGTCAAGAATACAAAAACTGAAGCAACAGGTAAAAACCATATAATAAATATAAAAGCACTACAACAATGATAATAAGGGGTTTGAAAATTTCATTTTGCTATTTCACACAATTACTGATTGTTTAGTATGCCATTCATGATACAAAAATAACATACAGTGTGATTTCCTCAAAACAGCTTTTACGTGATGCCCGACTGGAAAAAATGCCTCCACTACGCTGAAGTTATTGGCGGAGGTGATGCGCCGAAATTTCGGCGCAAGGGTTTATGCGCCGAAATTATTTTACCAAGCCATGCTTCATGCGCCGAAAATTTTCAAGGCTTACTGATGGCTGCAGGCTGTAGCCACACACTTTTCGTCGAGGGGGGGGGGGGGCTGGCGTGTGTGTGTGGCTGTCTTCCAGTGACTACTGTCTACAGACGGTTGTTGGCACGGTCGACGGGATCGGGCAGACAATAGACATCAGCAGGCCATGCAGGACCGAGCAACAGCGTTCGCTATCACAAAATCTCCTGACTCACAAACTCACTGGCATGTTCCATAACGTAACCTTTATTTTGTTGCCCGGCTCTGATCAGCAGTATGTGCCCAGCCGGTGACTGACGCCTGACGGGGCCTTCAACAGGCGTGGTGCAAGCACGGCCGATGGGATCGGGCAGATACCAGGCCACGCGGGACCGATTGCCAGCGTCCGCTCGCAAACCACACGCCGGAAATACAGGAATCACAACGGTCAATACGCAAACGATAGCATACGTTATCTGAACTAGGGGATCCGACAATCCATAACCTCACTCTCGATCGGTGAACTGTTCCTGCCGTGGGAGAGTCAAAATCAGGTTCACTGAACATGACTTAAATACCCTGAGACGAACACGACACAAGATAAGTGATATTTAAGATGTTTAACTCCCGAAGACATTTAACCCTCGCCGGCCGAGGGGGGTTGGTGCCACCCCCTGACGGGTTTTTCGCGACTGCTCCGGAGCCGTTTGCGATAGAGAGATAGAGAAAACCGTCGATTTACGCCGAAGTACGCCGAAAATTTCGGCGCAAGCCGTCGATTTACGCCGAAGTACGCCGAAAAATTTCGGCGCAAACGCCCAACTACGCTCGAGTTCTCGACGAAAGCGTGCATTTTTTCCAGTCGGGACGTGATGGACAGTGGCTCTGTCTTTTTCCCATTCACAAGGCCAAAGGGACAATTTCTTAGTTTTGAGGTAACACTTTTTGGAAAGCTACCACATTTTTCTACCTTTTTAAAGAAAAATCTCACCGTCATGGGCCTTTTTTCAACCGTAACGATACATTTGAAGTCAAAAGTGTACCCAAATGAATCAAAAAATTGATTCCATGCCCATATTTGGTCATGGCTCCTCCCACCAGAATCAAATTATTGATGCCTCCATATTTTGATTCCAAAAGCCTAGTTTGCCCAACTGAATTCGCCGAATCTAATCAAATCATGCTAATTCCTAGTCGAAAATGGAAGCCTTTTCTCTCCGATAAGTGGACGCGATGCCACAAGTATACCGGTTTGGTATACCGTTTTTCACCCTTAGAAGCGGGGGCTGCATTTATGCCCATATATGGTCATCAAAAGTCCATTTTTTAACCAATCAATTTTTGGTTATTCGCCTCGTAGTTTCCCCAACTGACTAATGACTTTCTCAGTCTCTGCCTCAATCCCCTTGGCCTCAATATAAAACAAAGCTGAAAGCCTAGGTTCAAATCATTGCAGCACTTATATAGAGCAATAGTAGGTAGGTAGGTAGTGAATAGTGATCATCTACAATTACAGTTGGAATGATAGCTACTTCTTGTTCTTGTCTAATTTTGATGAAAAATTTCTTGGTAAGAAATAAAAAAAAGGCTTAACACGGAGCCTATGCCTACTAGGTAACCTAGGTCTTGCACTTTTCTGTGCAATACTCCGGGCAGTGATTTCCACTGCTTTGTGTTGAATCTGCCCCATTCTGCATACGGGCTGAGTCCCCACTCCCAGCACTAGCAAAGGGCAAATGGATGTCACCATGTTAAGCATTTTGTTGTAAAGTAGGGTGAATAGGTCAAAAACGCCCCCAGTAAGCGCGAAACCTTCTGACACTCAACCCAACACAGATTACTCAAACCTTTGGGCACCATCATGTAGCTCATTCTTTTTACTACGCTTTGAGACCAAGAAAAGACACCTGCGTGTGGTATTTAACCCCCCAAAATGGTTTTCGCATACCCTTACAAAAGGGCGTTTTGCCCCATACCCTGGGTAATACGCCCACACCCATGTGCAAAGCGCCCCCACCCCATCCATCAACAGAACATGATGAACATGGCAGAACTTGACGTCATTCTGACGTCATTTGTGGTCAACATATCATAGCCTTTGTAATAAAGTTTTGTTGCAATGTGTAAAATGGATGCCCGGAGGAGTCCTGAAAGTTTGGTGACGATATCTGCAGTCGTTTAGGATATATCAGCAAAAAAGGACAGGGAGAGGCCTTTTCGGCCCCGACCTACAGGGCGCTACCCTGCACTCTCACCACCGTGCAAAACGCCCCCTTTAAGAAAACTGGGGGCGTCTTGCCCCATGCATCGAGTAGGCGTCTTTCCCCATCCACTCCATTTCCGGTCAACAAAATATTGACAAAAAACGCGCCACTAACGCCGCAGCATAATAAATTCAACAGAATGACAATAAAACGCAGTTTTGAGTGATATGCACAATAGCAAGTTTTGTGATATAAAGAGGGCATAAAAATATTAGGAATCTTCTGTAAAAACAACAAAAACAACACCCAAAACCAACATCAGCACCTACCCACGCTGCTCCTCAAGACGCAGAACCGGAAATAGAGACCTACGTAAACAAGCAGCTGACTGTTCTGAAAGACAGGATAAAACACCTATCCGTCGATAAGAAATACGATTTTTTTAGGGGAGGCGTTTAACCCAGGGGTGCGTTTTCCCCACAGTTACCCTATTCAACTTATTTTTGTCAATAGTATTGCTAGCTATTTTTTTGTCCTGAAATGCCAACCTATAGTCCTATAAAGTAGGTATATTGTTTGTGTCAGTGGTGGGTGAATAATGACCATTGCATTTGGCAATCAACACTCTTTAAAGCTCCAAAAACAAATAAGGACAATCATAGTAGGTACCAGTAACAACATAAGACATGACAAGAAAACAAACATTTAACTCAATGACTTTTCAAAAATCCTTTTTAGCTTTCTATTTTACCAATTCCACTGATGTCCTTACATAAAACATATTTATGTTATGCTGAAGTTTGAATCATAAACATTTGTGTGGTGCTGGGGTCGGTGTAGTCGGATCAGAATTTGACGTACCAGAACCATTGAAGCATGTTTATGCATCTATAATAGTTACACATTAAACAAATGGAGCAACTTAAAAGCAATGTAAACTACTCTGCTGCATATATGCTCTGACCCAGACTGCTGTAGCTGATTAAAAAGTAAAGAGTGCAACATTTTTGTCAGATGACTAATGCTGCTACATTCTGTGGACTATTATAAGGCAGCATTTCAAAGTTGGCATTGGTATGACAAGCTGGAGTGATATATTATCATCAAACATTTGGAATACATTAATCATATGCTTACGTGAGCATATCACACCACTTGTCCATTTAATTATGCATAGAAAGCTCAGAGCATGCGATCAGTGATAGATACCTTGTGATTTGCTACCAGACAATTCTGTCATCATATCAGCATCACTTGTCCATCTTGATGTAAATATTTAATCTGCCAAAAATGATAGCAATTAGTTGCTCATTTTTCGTCCAATGAGCGAAGCCAGGTGCATCTCGTTTGGTTCTTCTTTCCGCGAAGAGGACATCCGGAGCTGAGCCGCGGTTCTTCTGCCGCGCAGGTGGACGTATCTCCAGCATGTCGGTCCCAGTGCGAGCGACGGTGGCCGCGCGACTCGCAGACGCCCTCTCCGGACTGGGTTCTCCGGCTCCGGGCGCTGCTGAGCTGCTGCGACAGCTGACTGTGACCCGCGGACCGCACGCCAGCCTAACTCTGGCCACCGCGGCACTGCCGGCCGGCGCGGCACAACACCTGCGCGCGGCGCTCCCCTCCTCCACCGGGCTGGTACGGGCGGTCGAGGAGGGCCGACGCGGCCAGCTGCTGCTCGAACTGGAACCAGTGCAGTTCCGACGAGATGTCCTGGGTGGCATAGCTCGACAGCCGGACGCGTTCTGGCGCGGCGCGCTCACGGAAGTGGCCGCCGGCGAGCCAGCGCTAGTCGAGTTCAGCTCACCTAACATCGCTAAGCCCTTTCACGTCGGTCACCTGCGCTCCACTGTGGTCGGAAACTTTGTGTGTAACGTGCTGGCGGCGGTGGGGCCGGCTCCTGTGCGGTTGAACTATCTGGGTGACTGGGGCGCTCAGTTCGGTCTGCTCTCCGCCGGCTGTGAGGCGGCTGGCCTGGACGCGGAGACTCTCGGTGATGATGGTATCTCACGTCTGCTTGAGGTTTATATTGACACGTGTCGACGAGCGGAGACGGAGCCGGCGGTACGCGAGGCGTCGCGCAGAGCGTTCCACCGGCTGGAGATGGGAGATGCAACGGAACGCCGCCGCTGGGCCGCCTGCCGCCGACTCAGCCTCGACAGTCTCCGAGCCGCCTACCAGCGCCTCGCTGTCACATTCGACGCGTTCGACGGAGAATCCATGTACCCGGCGTCCAAGTGTGAGTCAGTCATGACGCGGTTAGACGAGAGCGGCGCGCTGGTGCAGCGCGGCGGAGCCACAGTGGCGGTGCTGGAGGGCGGTGGCGAGGCGACTCTAGCGCGTGCCGATGGATCCACCGTGTATCTAACGCGTGATCTGGCGGCTGCCGAGGACCGATACCGCCGATTCGGCCGCCGTCGGCTGCTCTATGTGGTCGACGCCGGCCAGGCGGTGCACTTTGCCAACCTGCGCGCGCTGCTGTCACAGCTCGGTCACGACTGGGCGGGTGGCGTGCAGCACGTGCCCTTCGGTCTAATACGCGGCATGAGCACACGCCGCGGGGAAGCCGTCTTTATGCACGACCTGTTGGATGAAGCCCGTGAGCGAATGCTGGAACGTCAGCGCGCCTCCCCCAACACCGCTCACCTGGAGAACCCTGAGGGCACCGCCGACGTGGTTGGCATATCTGCTGTGATCATTCACGACCTGCGACAGCGCCGGCAGCGCAGCTACGATTTCAGCTGGGAGGCGGCTCTGCGGCCGAGCGGTGACGGCGGGGTGCGGCTCCAGTATCTCCACGCGCGCCTCTGTAGCCTGGAGCGGCGTTGCGGCGTGGCACTGAACCCAGAAGCGGACGCGGCGCTGCTAGTGGAACCAGAGGCTACCGCGCTGGTCGCCGAGCTGGCCCGATACGAGGAGGCGCTAGTGGCCAGCCACGATCAACTAGAGCCATGTAAAATTGTCACCTACCTATTCGGACTGGCTAACACGCTGGGCCGTGCGCTGACGCGTCTGCCCGTGAAGGGTGCTCCGAGGGCAGAGGCTGAGGCACGTCTGCTAGTATTTCACGCCGGTCGTCTCACACTGGCACAGGGGATGAAGGTGTTGGGGCTCAGGCCGCTGGAAAGGATGTGATGTAACTTATATCACTTTCACTGTCGCGTGAGATGAGAGCTGCCCAATAGGGGTACCCATTTTTCCCGATTTTGGAAATTTGTGGGTGGGGGTGGTTTTTCCCATTATTTCGCGGCTTGTGATTCCAATGATGCCAAAAATATTGAAATCAAAGGTGGTTTAGGGGTCGCGAATTGAGATTGAAGTTTGCGTATTTACCTAGAAATATGCCTATTTTACGCTGATAATAAATCACACTAAAGGCAAAGTTTTTGTTTTGAAAGTCGGGTTGAGGGGTCATTGAGCGCTCCGTTTTCATCCAGATCGATGTGCTCCATCACGTGGTTCCGGTTAAATGCTTTACTAGCGATCATTACGATGTCGATATTGTATTATTTGGTGAAACCGGGAATCCCGGCGACCAACAACAGGAGCAAACATCCCGGCCCGGGATGTTTTGCTCCTGTTGTTGGTATCATTCTGGTCAGCGTGTAATCATTTTTGATATCTTCTGCCTCTTGAAGGCCATGAGTTGTAATGGTGACCTTTGATGACCTGTGACGTCAAATTAAAATGTGACCTACCTTTCAGTTGCCACTCTCAGTTCATGACAGGCTCTTTGTGTCCGTGCAAATAAGCTCAGGATACATCTCACAGATCATGGCTTCGAATGGACTTCAAATCATGTAATTAAAAAACGATCAAACCATTTTGACCGTATGCTTCCACAAGAAACGCAGTCCTGATCGCTCACGGCTACGATGTAATAGACCTCTGAGACAGAGTAGAATAAATCTGGGTGTTCTACCCAAAAATATCAACTTCTAATCCGAAAATATAAACTTCAAAACGTCGATTCTTTCCACGCCCACCAACCATGTATGTACGTACTATTCCATTTCTTCAGTGGGGACAGATACACACCGTTCTTGTGGAAGAGTTTCCGATACAACTGCAGATCATTTACGAGTTCATATTTGACCACACGCGACTAGCCATGCGCTGATACGTGCATGGTTGACATGTGACGAAGACCTTTCACAGCTTCTTGCACAGATCACTTGTGATCTCAGGTACCTATTTGGCGTCTGAGTCTGAAGAACCTAATGTAGCAGGATATTTTCATCCTGCATGGGCCGTATGGTGGTACATACCAGGACGCATCATATAAGGGAGTGTGCGTGCCAATGCCAGGAGTCAGTAAACGGTTCTGCCTCGGAGTTGGCTGAGCCGTCTAGACTTTGGCACCTTCCTAATTTTCAGCTTTAAGCAATGACATTCGTCGACTTCAGTTCAACATCAGCTACGGGTTTGGACTGAGCCTGTAGAGTGCGGTGTGCAGTGTAAGGTCCGTTATCTTGAAAGGATACTGCTGGCAGCGGCCGTCACCAGCCACTGGTTCCATGACATCGATAGGTATATCTGCACCCGTCTCAAGGCATCAGCTGGTATAGGAGCGGCACATGCCCAGAACTGGAGTCACGAGCAGTCGTGCGCGCGTTCGGCCAGGCCAGTGCTGTCCGTCATCAGCAAAATTGCAAACATATTTCTTTCATAATGGGGTGAGGATGGAGTTTCGGTGTTACCGTCCTTGGTGTGCTTGGCCAGCTTCCTTTCCATATGCACAAACGCACATGCTGTGTGCGGGTTTGGGTGTTTGTGGGGCAGGGGCAAAGCTACACTCATACAGCAGCCACCCGACGGTGGTGTAAAGCTTGCGCCCCTCCCTCAGCCGTCTCTGCAACTCCGGGACTCGGGGAGGTCGGCTAGCGAATTGGCAAAGGTCATCAGTCGTGCATACCGGCATAGCTTAGTGATGCTTTTATGTCGGTATAGATATACAGAAGCAATTGATAACTTGTTTATCTACTTCATGCCATATTTCCGTTAAAATACGGCATGCGAGTTATATCGCCACATACCGTAACGGTTTTTAATGCCACTCAAACCCAGATTGTATCGATAGGTCAATGTTCATGTCCTTGGGATCGGTCATTGCCTTTGCTGAATGAGACGACTTATTGAAAATTAGGTGGTTCCAATGAGAAAGCTTCGATCGCTGATTTTCGCCCTCCTGACTACATAGCCATTCGTTCTAAGAGTTGCGGTCTTTAGCTACTAATGACGGTCTAAGCGAGAGTGAGTGTAAATGAGCATATGCTGTTCATTGACCAAAATGATATTTTTGGTGCTCTCTTTTACCGCTGCACGTCGAATATACAACTAAAGCAATGTTGCACGGTGTCTAACAGTCATTAATACCACTGCAACACATTGGCTTTGCATATTTATAGTCGTTCAAATTAAATCATTTTTCCACTAAAATTAAAACTCCAATGCAAGCTCGCGACGCATACAAGTGGTCTAATATCATTATTTCTGTCACTGCTATAGATCCAGAACAGAGCAAATAATGATGAAATCGATCCCAACCTGTTGGCATGGTAACCTTGTCCCAACATAAAACAATGTTAATTTGGTCGATTTTCTGCTAAAATTAACATGTTCATTTTGAATTCGTGACCCCCAAAAATCGTTTGGCTTCGTTATTTTTGGCACAGATGGAATCAGAATAGGCCAAATAATGGGAAAATTGACCCCAACCTGTTGGCATGGTAATCTTGTTTCAAAATTAAATAGCATTATTTTGTCTATTTTTCGCTAAAATTGGCATTTTTATTTTGAATTCGCGACCCCTAGAAATCGTTTGATTTAGGTATTTTTGGCACAGGTGGAATCAGAATAGACCAAATAATGGGAAAATCCACCCCCACCTAAAATTTGGAAAATTGACCCAAAAATGGGTACCCCTACTGCCCAAGTTACGATAGTGTGCGAATTCGGAGCGAGAAATGGCATGTCTGGAGAGGTGTCAGAGACGTGAAGTGGTGCGTGCTGCAGTTCTGCCTGCGCCGATTACGCGATTGGGTGCAAGAGCGCAGTGTCACGCCATTCTTCACGAGAGTTGTTTTCTGTGAGCAGTGAGATATTCCTAGCTGGTTTTGTAATGTGTGAACGGTATGGATTTTCGATGGTCATGTTGAAATGTATAGTGAATGAATAAAATACCAAAACAATGAGTAGTGCTGTCCGTTACCGTTTATGATGAAAAGTCCAGAAGCGACTTGAATGCTTGCAACGCCCGAATGCTTTGTGATATTTCGAGTACTTTAAACAGGAGGTACTTATACCTAATGCTTAGCACATTGCATAGTTGATGGATTTAACCACGGCAATTCCCTCATTTTGTAGGCTACCGTTTTTCTTCTCTGTGAACTCGAGCCTGGCGGCTGGCTGATCGTTTTAGTCCCGACCCGGACATCGCGTGTAGGTACTCAGATTTGGACGACAGATAAAGCCCTGACCGCTTCCGTCTGAAGGACCAAATGCGTCTCAGTCTCGGCTAACCGGATCCAAACTTTCCTGCTAGTTCCAGGACAACTAATGCATGGCTGTCAAGGAAAACTGCCAACCATCAGCTGACGGCACCTTCCAATGACTTTCAATGGCGCTATTGGAGAATCCGGCATCCCTGTGCTTGACATTCAAACGATTTCCATCGTCGATAGTGATCTGCTGATTATAGCCATGATCGATAATGACCCATAGTACTCGACTACTGTCTAGATTATTGTGATGTGGAGCCCAATTTAAAGAGCTTCGGTCATTGTTCGCACCACTCTTTTGTGTTCAATTGGTTACATTTCGATAACAACCATTTGGAAAGATCCAGTGCACTGAATGAACCCAGAGTTTTTTTAGGTGTCTTGCAAGCTGTTAAATATTTAGTCGTTCATTGGTCACGACCGGTCAACAATCGCACTTATCTTGCGGTTGAATGTCTTCATTGTCGGATTTCGTAGATTCTGAGTCGATAGAAAGATGATCGATGGTGCTCGGCATTAGGTATGCAAAATCCGTCTCAAACATCACTCCAACTCTGGACATAGATTGAGAAGATATTCCGTACCTGAAAGTTTTATTTGATCATATGGTTCTTCCGACATCATATCTTGGGCATTACTGACAAGTCAAGGCTAAGCTACGGTGCCTGTGTTGTGGGCATGAGTCGGTCTTGTGTTTCGTCTCCAAGGTGTTTGTGTGTGTTGTGAGTTCCTTCATTCCCTCCTGATTCGGTTGCTGTCGTTGGACTAAATCGCCTCTTTTCTCTGGAAAATATACGCTTGTCATATTGATGCAATCGTTGCAACCTTATTTGAATAGAAGAATGGCTCAATATCTCAGTTTTGATTAGCATATCGGCATATGATATCAGTGCACTGCACCTGTGTGACCTGATTTCTTGTCGATCCTCTGTGCGGTGGCTGTGACGTTCGGGTCGATGTCTCCCTCCCTTCCGTCGCGCGCGGTGTGGCCGGCCAGCCGGGCAGCAGGCACGTCCCACAGCGCGGTGCCACCTGTTGCAGAAATCGGTGCTGATGGGGCTGTACACCCTGATCACGGACCACCCGGTGCTGGCGGCCACGGCCGGCTTCTTCGTCTGCCTGGAGGGCCACTACCTCTGGCGGCTGCTGGGCAGAGCCGTCACCGACCAGTTCTTTCTGAGACGTGTGGCGCCGCTGGACACCATCCGCAACTACAGCATCTGCACCACGACAGACCTGGACGCCTTCTTCCACATGAACAACGCCCGCTACGCCCGCGAGATGGACTTTGGCCGCTGGGGCTACCACGTCCGCACCGGCCTCTACAGCCACTGGCGAAACACGGACGTCCGTGTGCTGCAGGCCTCCATGCTGATCCGCTACCGCAAGGAGGTGTCGCTGCTGATGCCGTTCGTGGTGGAGACGCGGCTCGTCTACTGGGACGACGCGAGCCTCTACTTCGAGCAGAAGCTGGTGACGCTGCACGACCGGCGCGCGCGCTGCGTCAGCCTCTCTCAGCAGCGCGTGGTGGGCTCGCTGACGCCGCAGCAGCTGATGACGATGGCGTTTGGCGCCGACACTCCGCCACCGCCGCCATCCGACAGCGTACGGGCCTTCATTGACGCCAACAGCGCGTACCAGCGAGACCTGGCCATAATAGAGAAACGGGAGCTACAGTGACACTGTGGCTCTTAGTGGGTGTAACGCAGTGGCTCGTAGTCACTGCTGGTGGAGTGGGCTGTGAGAGCCGAGTGAGAGGCGGCTTAGGACAGATGTTTGAATTGTGCGACAGTGCGGCAGTGGAGTGTTTCAGTGTATTATTGTGATTTGCTTGTAGCTGTGTGCCAGATCTAGGTTTTTGGTGTAAAGCTTCTGGTCTTTGCCTCTCGATGTTAATTCGAGATGTCGCGTGATAGATCCGACTTTACGTTAACCTAGGTACGCCTGTCACTGATGTGGCCCGGAAAGATAGAATCATGCTCCCAGCAGTATAGACTGATTTTAACGGGTTATTTAATCAGCAATGACGGATGTAATGTTGCTAGTATTTTGGACTACGATACCGATCTCCATGTTAGCTCACCCCTTCCATGTGTTGAACAACACACATATAATACGATGTGTGCCGCTTTTAGATCAAGCATGCTTTCTCTTATACTATTTCCTTGCATGTTGCTCTGTTTTAGCTGCTTTTGCTCATCCCTTTCGTGCAATATGTGTCCGTCGTGTAGCTAAGCTTGTTTCTGTTTTGTTAGTTTTTGTTTTGCTTTGAGTTTTCTATTTATTGCGCATCTTTTAATCATAATTTCCACCGTTCCACGCAATTGGCGACATGACTTGCCATGGATTATTTGTTTGTCAACCCAGCGTGCGATGTTGTTTTGCTATGATTATTTATTGAATTCTAACAACGGATGAGAACTAGTTTATGACAAAACTCTTTATCCAGCTTATTTCCTTGCTTCGTACCATTTGACCCCGCGATTTATCCATGCTAAACGTGATGTGGGTGTTTGGTGTAAAACTGCCTAATCTAGTCGCAAGTTCACAACAGCGGACAAAGGGCATTACCCCCTCTGCCGAAGGTCAGCAGTGGGATTGGGGCGGTACATCCTCCATCAATTAATGTTAGCATCGCTTGTCGCTCTATGTGATGTCAGGCTGCCATTATGTGTCGTCTTGTCGAGCATATGCGTGACTGCCAACTATCGAGCGGCGAACTACGGAAGAGTGGGCTGGCATCGACTGCTTTCCTGTACGATTCGGCATTGAGGACCAAATGGCAGGCGCCTACATCTGATTTCATCACTGGCTCCACTGCAACAGTGCGCTCTGCTGAGGGGCGGCGCACTTCCGCCTAGTTAGTTGCCGGTCCGGACCAGAACCGTGACAGGTCTGCCATCCTTCCTTGTTTCCGAGGCCCGGCTGGCGAATAGGGGAGGACGGTGCAGCATTGTCAGTGTAGCGGCGGTGGACTGTGAAATGACAGACGGAATTTTCCTGCATCGTGTCTTTGCCCCGTTAGCAGATCAATACAGTCATTAGAAAGAACTGATGTCTTTTAGCCAAAACTTTAACAGTCTCGAATAAATAATGCGAAAACACATCCCAGAAACTTATGCAACATCTTCAACATAACTTACGTAATGCAACAATGCCAGTTTCTATTTTGTTACGGTAAACTAGCTGTCGAATTCACCTGAAAGATGCTTGCCAGTGGGTAGCGTTTATTTTAGACCCACCAGTTGCTTGAATGATGTTACTCTACGCCGTGTGTGAACAGGACCCGATCGCCGATTGACGCTTTCTTAGCGTATTTTTTAGTAATAATTCGTCCTATCTGTTCTGCACAAGATGTGCCTGGCGCACCCACCCGCCCGCACGTCGCCCATCCGTCCGTGCTCCAGCCACCTACAGCCCGGTCCCTGTTCCAGAAGACTCGCACCCGCCATGGGTCTGTTGGACATCATCTGGGAGCACCCGGCGCTGGCTGCCGGCGCCGGCTTCTTCATCTGCTTCGACGGCTTCTACGTGCTGCGTCTGGGCGTGACGCTGGTGGCGAACCGGCTCCTCCTGCGGCGCGTCTCACCGCTCACCACAGTGCGAGACTACGGCTACTGTGCGCCCACAGACATCGACGTGCTCTTCCACATGAACAACGCCCGATACGTGCGCGAGATGGATTTTGGACGCTGGGGATACTACATGCGCATCGGGGCGCCGATGTTTAGTGATATGAAAGTCCTTCAAGCGGCTATGCTAGTCCGCTTCCGTAAAGAGATCTCCATGTTCACGCCATTCGTGGTGGAGACGCGTCTCGTGCACTGGGACGAGCAGAGTCTGTTCTTCGAGCAGAAGCTGATTACACTGCACGACCGGCGCGCGCGATTCGTCAGCTACTCTCAGCAGCGCGTGATGGGCTCCGTGGGTCCTCTGCAGCTGCTGGCGGCCGCATTCGGTACGGAGACGGCGCCTCCGCCCCCGCCGGCCCCTGAGAGTCTCAGAGCGTTCATCGAGGCCAACAGCGCATACAAGCGCGACCTGGCGGCCGTGGAGCGACGGGCGTGACGTGGGAGCGGTGGTTGATGGGTAGGGCGACTTTTACAGCCAGCAGCGGGTCAGGGTGAGAGGATGGTCGGATAACTGGAGCATCTGCAACTTCGTGACCGACTCGGTGTCATCAGTCCGTTATCTACCAGATGGCCGTTAGATAGTTGTTGTAGCAATGTGACATACCTCCAGTTAGCCTTATTTTGCTGAGATATGGCGTGTATTACAACAGTATGCACGTTTCCGCTCAGCACGGGGGTTGCATACGGGTAGATGATCAAATAAAGAAGTGTCGTGAACATATCCCGTAGTAACAAATCCCTCAACTGGGAGTGGGCTCGTAGAACACCGCCATCGCTTACATCTGGTCTCACTGACGGTCACTGGACAGCGATAGCTTCTCATTGAAGTCCGTTGGCTAACCACCAGACATTGCATGACTGAGTGCAATGGGAAACATTGCAGATACGGTATGAACGTTGCGTCTCAAGGTCTCAATAGGCGCTTTCTAACCAAGTTTCCTCTAATAGATAGAGTGATGGTGTTTCACAGGGAGGTGTGACGGTCCTTTCCGTAGAAACTTTAAACTCTTGTATCTTCTTCTGGGAACTGACCGTTTGAGTCCGCCGTCTCGGTTCGATGCCCTTGACTGGAAGAAGACACAAGGAGGAAAATGGAACTGGCCCTGACATAGCATGACTCGTGAAAGTCGGGTTACAGATGTCCGTAAATATTTCTGGTCCATTTTTGTCGAGCGGTATCACATGAACAAGCGCGAGGCGGCAACGGTGCAGCCTCCAGGAAATGGATGCCAGTGCCCTTAATGCCTACTGGCACTGGCATTGCGGACTAAAATAACCGAAGCTGCTACTAGCTTTCACTCTCGCACACTGACGTTTTAATCACTGCGTAGGCAGTCCCGGTCAATGCGGTCATGCCGATATGGAGGCGTTCACGTTATCTATTCTAATCGACTGAATAGTGATTCTAATTGACTGAATAGTGATGCAATACTGGCATTGTCATACACACCAGCTGCGTATTGGCAGGTTTCCGCTCTGCATCCCGTCAAACGAGTGACCGTATGAGTGACTGGGCGTGGTGGGAAATCGTGATCGTGAGCTATGTTTGCGAAATTGAACTCGAACTCGAAGGGTGTGTGACTGTGCTACGGCACCGCCTAAAAATACTTGAATGCAATGCTAAATTATCCATGGTTTCCTAAGCTAAGGAACTATCGTACACCGGCGATAATCCTGTCTGGACCGAGTAAATCCGCTCGAGCCTCAATGGCATTCCATGAGCCGGTGTAGCCGGTAGCCTCCACCGGCATATGCTCACTCGTAGGTCGGCTCGACGAGCGGGTCTGCGGCTCGCCGACATCCCCGTAGCGGGCGTGTCGTCTGCAGACGCGGCCGCCGACCGGTGTCGGTTGCGGAACGGGCCTGCAGACGGGTTACGCCGGTTCCGACGCAATCGTCGGGCGCGCTCCGTTGTTGATGGGCGGGGAGGCGCGGCGGCACGCGGAAACTGGCGGGCCCGGCGCGCCCAGACGACGGAACTTGAGGGGAGGGGCCAGGGGGGGGGGGGGGCAGAGTCACGCAGCGGAGAGGAGGGGCATCACGACATATCGCGACACATCACACCACACATGGTGCTGAGGACATCGCTGTACCCCGCTCAAGGACACTGCATTAGGCATGAGTAGGCTGGAATCCGTATTCAGCGTCCATTCTACTGATGGGTTACTGTTCCAGCCACATGGGTCCGTGGTCTGAACGATGCACAGCTCTGTGCCACCTTTGCATGCTGGTTGCTAATGAACTAAGAAGGAATGGGGAGGGGCATAGGCGCTGAGTGCTTGCGTGATATGCACTAGGGCACTGGGCTGGAGGCGGACGTCTATAACGGTTGTTTGCAAGGATAAGAATGAGCGCGATTTTCCTGCTTCGTAGGTCGGAAAGAAGCGTGTCATCCTTCAGAAATGCAGCCGTTTCAAAATGATTTATGTCCTCTAGAACCTGTGATCGATAGCCCCTCTTCATTTTATTGCTGGTATGGTTGAATTTCACATGCGAAAAAATCGACTGAAGTGTGTCACATTCTCTGCAGAGCGTTTCAGACCCGCCAAACCTGCCGGCAAAATGTTGACTGAAGACGCCAGGCAAGATGTGGAGACCTTCTTCAAGCTCCACGAGGAGAGAGTCCGGATCTACAAGAAGCTCGAGAGGTAAGGTGACTAGAGAGCGGCCATATCAGATAACCATGCATGACTTTTATCGACATGGTTGGCTATTATCAGTATTTGATCATGCATTTAGGAATGCTATGCTCATGTCAAATGATGGTATAAATTGATTTTTTTCACTGAACTTTTTGCCCTAATAGGTATTAGCATGGCCACCGATGGCCTACGATTGTGCGTGTTTGATCTTCCTCGTCGTGAACTTCCAGCCATATCTGACAAGCCAGCTTGTCGCTTCCCTTTAGCTGGTTGGCCGAGCAAATTTACCGGGTTCACCCGGCAGTGAGCCACCTGAAGGCCGCACTCACACGCCCAGTGCGTGTGTAACCAGGGCTTCCCTGTGTATTCGTCACGCACGCATTCTTTTCAGTCCTGAACAGTGAACAACCGCTTACTGGCGATTACTTACATAACTTAAGTGTGGAGCTGTCAGCACAAGCGGCGGAACGAGATCACATCAGGTTGTCGCCCCTTGAATTCGCAAGGCCGTGTAAGGATCGCTAGCAACAGTCCGTGCGGAAGTTTCTATTTTGCTGTCAGTTGTTCCGCTGTTTATATGTGGAGGGTAGAGGGAAGAGAGCAGAGGGTAGAGAGCTCAGCACGGGCATCGTCTGACCTCTGACCTGACCTTTGACCTGACCTCTGTCGGCAGCGGGCACCGTGACCTGCTGGCGGCCCCGGCTGACCAGGGAGAGACCTCTGACGGCACGACGCCGGCCACCACCGACCCGTTCCCGGCGTACCGTGCTGCCGTCGCTGAGGCCACAGATGGCTTCTCTTCAGTCAGTCAGCGCGTCCTGGCGCTCCTGGCGCGCATGCGCAACCAGCCGACGGCCCAAGAATGTACGGACGCTGTGGAACGGATCCAAGAGCTGGAACGACGCAAACTGCAGATGGTGAGCTTAAAGTATGTGTTGAGCCGCTGAAAAGTCATACGCAACCAAGAAGCCGATAATTGTGCTTCATTACCTTTTGTTCTTGGCAATATGCAGGTTTGAGGCTTAACCCGCGACCTGGTGGGGGGGGGCTATTTTTTGCCCCCCCTCCAGATTTTTCGATATATCTCCAGAACCGCTGCGCCGATCGTCACCAAACTTTCAGTACCCTCCCGGACACCAATTTTACACATTGTGACCAAAAATTTTTCCAAAGGCTATGATAGGTTGGCCGGAAATGACGTCAGAGTGACGTCATGTTCTGCCGTTTTCGACCCAAAAAAGGGTTTCGCGGGAAGAGCTGTCAGGCCTAGAGCTTTGCAAATACAGAAAAATGACAGAGACATAAAAGCTGTAGAATTGACAGGGCTACAAAACTGCTATCTCGGATTTTTGAAATTTTTGGATTTTGAACCCCAAAAATCAAAAAATAGATTTTTTGAATATAATAGCCAAAAAATCCAAAAAGTTTTTTGAATTTCGCAAAAACCGGAATATATGTGATAGTCCATACCGCCTTCTATCCACATACCGAATTTGAGATTGATACCTCTTTTTTTGGCGAAGTTATAGCGAAAAAACTGTTCAAAATTGATGACGTCAAATTTTCAAACTCAATTTTTAGCAATTCTAGACCTCGTAGCGCAAAACAAAGACCACCATTAGACTCCCCGTGACGAGCTGCATCGAATCGATACCCATTTTATGCAAAACTATCAACTTTAAAATTTGACCTTTTTTGGCCTGACCTTGACCTGACCTTGACCTGAACTTCACCAGAAAGTGACCTAAGCCGTACCTGATAGTCTTATAACCAACACCATTGAGTTGGAAATGAAAAATTGGCCATAAAACATGCATCACACAACCTTAGTAAAGTTAGGCTCATGTGACCTGACCTGTGACCCTTGGTGACCTGACCTGTGACCTGACCTGGTATTGTCAGTGACCTCTAATAGCAACATATCTACTAGGCAACTGACGCCGTATCGCTGATTATCGACAAAATGCGTTTTCCTCGGTGTTATAGCGCATTCCCTAGCAGACCCGTGAACGGTGAAACATTTCATCTTTGACCTGACCTGTGACGTCATCGGTGACCCCGAGGTCAATGAAATTTGGTTTCTCTCGACAAATTTGACAGGCCTTTCGAACGCCGTTTGAATTTTCCGGATCCGTCCAGTAGTTTCGGAGATACGAGGGGGGGCAAAAAATAGCCCCCCCCCCCACCAGGTCGCGTTATAAACAGACCCCACCAGGGCGCGGGTTAAGGCTGCCCCACACTGAAACTCGCATGCGGGTTGCGGGTTTGCGGGTTTTGAGTTTGCGGGCATAAAACTTATTCATAGAGTGATTAGACCGTTCCCATATGGTAACTTTATGAATGCAGTGAAGCCGGTACACCTTCAAAAACTTACATATAGTCGCAATACCAGGCAACGAATCAAAATTCGACTCCAACGAAAAACCCGCAAACCTCGCAGAACTCGCAGACCTCGCAGCGAGGAAAATCCAAAGTTGACTCAAAATCAACTTTTGGAATGCGATGCAAGGTCGCTCGCAAGCTAAAAACACGCAGACTCGATTGTTAGATGGTAGTGTGGGTCACTCAGCTTAGATTGTATTATGTGATTTTGAAGAAACCGCAAAACCCAAAAACTCGCAACCCGCAACCTGCATGCGAGGTCCAGTGTGGGGCGGCCTTTAGTTTGGCTTGATACAGCTCCACCTAACGTGCCTCGACCGTAGCCTCACCCTCATTACTGATCTGACCACCCACTCCCCTACCCCTTCAGACCTGCGAGATGCAGCTGCTGGCCTTCCAGCAGCGTCAGGAGCCGGAGGACGCTGTTCGAGAGCGGACACTGCGTCACCTGCGACAGCAGCACGCTACTCTTATAGAGGACATCACAGACTGTCTGAGGACTCTGCGCTCGGAACTATATGACTGACGTGGGAGCGGGGAGAGACTATGGCTGAGGTCGTTAGAGCAGTGGGGATGGTCTGAGCTGACCTTTATAACTGAGAGTTGTGAGAGCAACGGTGAACAGTCTGAGCTGGCATCTGTATTACTGAGGACGTGAATTTGTGAGAGCAGTGGAGGTTATGTCTGAACAGCTTACAGCTTGGTGGCGACTGGCGAGAGCTTAGTCGAGACATATGCTGTGGGTCATACGGGCAACGAATAAGACAAGGAGTGCGTTTGAACGGTTGTAGCTACTGGGTTGTGCTCTAAATGTTTGTCACCGAATAGGCTGTTCGATGAATTGCTGTTTTTTCCCTCGAAGCCCACAGCAGCGGTTTTGTTTTGTTTGTTTTGTTGGGTTAGGCCCTTTTGGTCGACAAGACCATTGCAGAGCCGGAAGGATGATAGGAATTAGGGGGAGACATTGGTCTGGGCAGGCACCCTAGTGAGTCGCCGGGGCTGAGCCCGTCCAGAGGACAGGCCACCCAGCCCCAAGGCACTCACTGCACCCGGCTACGGGGTGCGCTCCCTCAGGAGCAGCGGTGCCGCTCCAAGGGAGCAGCCCGCATGAGATAAAGTTGCCTGTCCAGCCCGGAAGGGGGTTGCGGCTTGGAGGAGAAGGATTTCAGTATCCTGAGGATAGAAGCACGGATGGGTGTGTGGCAGCGGTTTCCTGTCTGTAACTTTCAAGTCTCAGGCCTATGACTGGGTAGGCACTAGGCAGCAGAATCAGTGGGACCACCTGTCCAAACAGGACAGCTGGCTGCACTGACCAGGGTATATTGAGTGAAGCACTGACAAGTGCCACCTGCATGCGGTCCAAAAGCTGCGCTTCTGCCACCTAGCGGTGTGTTATTGAATCTTCGTAAAAGTGTGGTGCCGAGTGCCCTGCCTTGTGCTGGGTGCGTAGTTCTCGTCGATAGACGTTTCAGTTTCAGATGTAACATCGTTTTACCTGTGAAACGCGCAGATCTCGATTAAAGGTCTTGTTTTTTTTTTTTCGATGTCGAGTCCCCAGTCACGTGAAGGACGTGGGATCCTGTGCATTTATCTACGGCACCCCTGTGTCCGGTCGGAGAGTAAAATAAATCGTTGCTGCCTTTGGTAAATCCAGCTAGCTAAGCAGCATTGTATCTTATCACGACTGGCAAATGGCACTGACCCAGTTTCGTGACACCCGAGGACTAAACGGGCCACGATCGACTCGTGAGAAAATTTGTTGATGTGGCGTGGCAGTCATGTCAGATTTGAGTTATACTGCACCACCTTCCGTTAATTCGTCTGATCCGTTTGACACGCACACCACGACCGATGTGGCATTGTTCGTCCAGACAGCAGGCGAAGCCCTCGCGCTACCGCCCTCCCACGGCCTCTAACTGAAGCTTTGGTGTATAAACCAACCCACAGACGGCTCTGTAGACGTCAAGGTCAATTGGGTCGCCCCCTAGTGTTTCTCATGGACGCTACTGCGCACGCTATTGTGACTCAAATACTGATGCGCCATCAGGAACGCAAATGCCAAACGACCCATTCCACCTTATACCTACATTGCAACGCAATATTAGCGTTTTGAGGTTTTGACCACAAATCCCGTCGGCGGAACACGAGTGATGAATCCGCATATTAGCGTTTTGAGGTTTTGACCACAAATCCCGTCGGCGGAACACGAGTGATGAATCCGCGTGTTTCTGGTATGCTGGTCGGGACAAAGTTCGCACTGTATCGACCAAGGACTCGTGACTCCTCACAACGGAGCTGTGCTTTATCTCGCCTGGATGACTAGACAATCAGCACAAGATTGATGTCACCTAACGACAGACTGCTCTCCAGCGATCGGCAAATATGTTAGGAACCGGAACCGTAGGAACGGTCTCTGCACTCGCAGACCACTTCAACTTAACCGGTCCAAGTAGTAAACAATATCCGATCGAATTCGGCACCTTCTCACCAAAGCTGTCATATAAACGCGTCAGCTTGTATTATGCCCGTTCGGTGGTTTCCCCGCGTGCCGAAGACCAGCCGCGGCGCACGGCGTAAACGAGACCAGCTCGGGAATCGGCGATGATATTTATTCGGTCGACCCATGACAAACTGTACAAAATGTTTGTTTGGACTGTAAAGATTCCACTGCATCCCTGGCGGGACATCATAAAAAAGAACAGCGCAGGGGTACGACCGTCGGCAATGAACCTCTTCTCAAAGCGGCTGGCCGGCCGGCCGGCCGGCGGTCGGGCAGCACGACTCGGGCGGCGGCGGGGGCGGCCGTTCGCGCGGGCCGCCGCGCCGCGCACCACACGCGGTTAGTCTTCGGCACGCACACAGTAGTCTCTCTCGGCACGGCACGGCACGGCACGGCACGGCACGGCACGGCACGGCACGGCACGCGGAGTTTATTTACAGCCGTCGCGGCGGTCGGCGCACTAGTCGTCCTTCTTGCTGTCGGCGGCGGGGGTGGCGTCTGACGCGGCGGCGGCCGGCGCGTCGGCCGCCTGGTCGCCGGCGGGGGTCGGGGCGGCGGGCTCGTCGGCGGCCGGCGCCGTCGGACCCTCGGCTTTGCTCGCCTCGTCGAAGTTCTCCACAAGGTCGGGCACCTCCTCGTCATCGTCGCCGGCGCCCTCGCCGCCAGCGCCACCTGCCGAGAATGGGCAGAGTTAGACACTCGCAACTCACGAACTATTCACAAGTATCACCAATTCGCTAGGTGCAGAGTAAACAACCCACATGTCTGCAAACAGTGAATGTGGTTAATGGGTTCCTTCCTTGTACGGAACAATGTTTCGAATCATTCCAATCGCAACCAATGAAAGCTATTTCAGTAAAGATGACGCAGGAGGTAATCCCGCGCGTGAGCACACGATGAACAGTAGACCACAAACTGTACGAAACATGGATCATTCAAAATAAGCAAGCGGCACATTTATGCCTACTAATGCTTAGTTACCCATTTTACAAGCCCCCCACCCCCCTTAAAAAACGCGACCTTTCGCCGGAAGCGGACCATTTCTAACGATCACTCACCGGTCGCCTGAACGGAGGATGCCAACCGCTTCAGGTGGGTAATGCTCTCGGAGCCGAGCTGGTTCAGGATCGTCGGCAGCATGTCCGTGATCTGCTTGTGCTCGGCGTGACCCGAGATGGCGAACGTGTTGGACTGCAGCGACGCCTGCACCTTCGGGTTGTTGAAGTGGATCACCGAGCTGTCGTCCTTGATCATGTTCACCTGAAGGACATAATTACATATTTAACGCATGCTTAATTCGGCCAGGCTGCCGGTACTCGACGGAAATAATGGTACCGTAAAGTGGGGCTATTTGAAACGGATTTTACAGTTTTTAGCCTCTCTCTTTAAGGCGGTTCATATTTCGTATAGCATGTAAATTGCAAAAATGTAGTTCCCTGTGAGCTCTTTCATATAGGTGCATTTTGCTTCAGCTAATGATAATAATTAAGGATATTTTGTTAGTTAACCCGCGCCCTGCTGGGGGGGGGGTGTTTGAACACCCCCCCCTTGTGGTTTTTCGCGAATATCTCAAAAACGGCGGCGCGGAGCGCCGCCGTTTTTGGTACACCTTATCATACATCAATTCTACACATGTTGTGAAAATTTCAGACCAAGGTCATTCAAGGTCAGGTCACCAGGTCACTTGAAGTGACCTCACCTCATAAAAAGTTTCAATGTCTGTCATAGCTACACCGAGTGACCGATCGCTTTGAAACTTTCAGCGATTGCTAAGAGCAATAGCATGTACAAAATGTATATCTCAGAATTTTGATATCGATGACCTAAGGTCAGGTCAATTTTGCGACCTCCCCATTATAAGTCAATGGGAGAAAATTGAAATGCGCCTCTTTTGGACGAAAGACATTATAAACACTCCCAAACACCGAATTACAAGTGGTTTAGACACACTGACCATGAAAATGGGGTCCGTGACCCTTGTTTATGCCCTGAGGTCATCTTAGGTCACGAATGGTATCTAGCAGTTTTTCGCAAATAACTTTTGATAGAGGCATGCTAGAGCGATGAAAACGCCTTAGATGTGTTCAGCTCGACGATACGGATCGACTGATATGCAACATGACCCTTTCCGGTCAGGTCATGACCTTGACCTGAGGTCAAATTTTCAAGTTGACCTTTCAAGGTCAAATTATAGTTCATTCGATGCGTCTTGACGAGAGGAACACGATGCCGGTAAAAGTAAGCTCGTACAAGGCTTGGGTCAAAAGTTATTGCAGAATAACTGTTTCCGAAAAAATCGGCTATTTTTGCAGTTTTTGCCCCCTGCAGGCAAAACCGTTGACGTTAGGTCAAATCTGAGAGAATTACTCAGAAAGGGCGTTAATAGGGCTATCGAATGCGCTTTTCCGCGGCGCTGTAGCTCTATTGGTTCCCGAGTTATGCGTTGGCTTCTTGGAAATTTTCGACATTTTACCTGGAAATCGGCGAAATTTTGCCTTCAATGACCTCTGGTGACCTGACCTTTGACCTGAACAAAAAATTGACCGAAGTGATTTCGTCATTATTTTTGACGCTCTTTCGAACGCCGCTTTCCGCGTATCGCTACGTGGCCCAGGAGCCGAGTTACAAGGGGGGGGGGGGTGTTCAAACACCCCCCCCCCCCCAGCAGGGCGTGGAAATCCAGGACCCCCAGCCGGGCGCGGGTTAAAGCCTGTCTCAAATAGCCCCATAGGGTGGGGCTATTTGAGACAGTTTTAGTTACGAAGAAATTGAAGAAAATTGGTCACGCTAGAAATAATTTTTTAAACGCCATGCGATTGGAAATTAAATTTTGATCGTTCTGGCAAAAATTATTTTTGCAAAGACAGTTATATTTCCTTTGTATTCGATCTTTTCCTTTTTCGTAGGATGCTTCATTTCGGTAGGTTATAAAATTGCATCACTATATGCTAAGGCTATCATAATATGATGTGACCCTAAACTTTCAAAATGACAGGATGATCATTAAGGACCATTTCAAAGTCAACGACAGTAAAATTTTGAAAGAAAGTTTTCGTATATAACCCTGGTGGCGTGAAAATAGATATACTGAGAGTCGGTGGGGCTATTTGAGACAGGCTCGCTACCTTATGAAGCACACTGCAATGAATCAAACGAGCTAAAATCTTTCCCAAAACATTTAAGTGAATGGTCTGCATGATTCCTTGTTCAATTGCACATCTTCGTGCGAAGAAATAACAGAAAAATGTTAAGCGGTTTTGATTTTATGCCGATTTTCCTCGATCGCTGCACGCTGTATCAATTGGCCGGTTACCCTACCACATCAAGTACCTACTTGCATAGGCTCACCTAACAGGACGTTTTTGTGTTAAGTAATCTTCATTGGTGTTTCTGGTCAACCAAGGCAGACATGTGTTGATTGTCACTAAGTCAGTGACTGATGAAGCACATTTTAAGCACATATTCATCAGAATAACTAGTTTGGTCACCAGCTAAAGGGTCATTATGTTATACTACGAACATGTAAATATTGCTTGCTGCTAAAAGTACCCAACATGAACCCACTGCACGTTTATGACCACGACCGATTCAGCGGTGTTGCTCATGTCGAACGTTCGATGCACTTCAAGTAGATGGTGATAAGTCTTCTCGGGTGCAATGGCATCACCATTATCAGTAGTTATTAGGCATATCAGTTGAGGTTTGACCAGGTGGGCATCATCGGGATTCTGAGACAATGAGTTACGCAAGCGGCAGTAACGTTAACAATGCATAATATTTTCATGAAAAATGTGCTTAGCCTATAAGTAAAACGCTAGTAACGATAGATCCAGTAGCGAAGCTGTCAAAACTTCAACCATGTTAAGCTGCAGGTAGGGGTCCTTTTCGAGCAACTTAAATTGTGCGTTTTTCTGTATTTCGTATTCTATGTCAAATTTCTTTCAAAACTTTTCGAAATTTTCAAAAATGTTATTCAGGTCATTCACTGTTCAATTCCACATCAGCCTAAGCAAAAATGACGAAAAAATATCAAACGGTTTTCATTTTACAGCGGTTTTACTAAACCACTACCTTACTGTCTCAAATAGCCCCACTGTCTCAAATAGCCCCACTTTACGGTACGTCAGCACCGTACCAAATACACACGATACGCAAATTTACCGGCAAATGTGTCACCAAACAGAGTCATTTACGCTATGTACCATAACTAAAAACGCTCACAAACATATGCATCATTGATAAAATAATGACGGTCCCACTGCACTCACCTCCTCAATGCCGGGGATGTTGCTGACAGGCAGCTTCTTCAACGAGTTTTGCAACTTCCTGTCATCAGTGTTGGCAGTCTTGTGGACGACCTTGCGCTTCCTGCGTGGCACTCCCTTCCCACCGACACGCACCTGCTCCGACAGCTTGGCGAGCTTGTCACGGTTCATGATGCCAGCTGCCGGTGAGATAAACAGATGGTTTAGCATCACACCATTCAGTCAGTACGTGTGGTTGCATGTGGGCGAGGGAGAATACAGTGGGGGATAGGATTTCACATGCCATTAATTTATTGAGTAACGAGTCTATTATTTTTAAATAGCTTGGACAGATGAAAAGCTGGCTACAGTTAACTATTTGAGTGCATATTTAATTTTGCAAAGATAAGTATGTGATTAATATTATAATTAAATGAAAGTACTAAAACAGAAGCAGTGAAATGACTCAATGCATTAAACTGACTCAAGTGAAACCAAGCAACAGAAAGGCTTTGTTCCAGCAGCAGGTGGCAGGCAGAGCACCTGGTCCACACAATCATCTACTGCCCACCTGGCCCTGGTTAGCCCCCCCCCCCTCCTCCCCCACTCCCAGCCCTTCCGTTCCCCTCCCACACCTGGCTAAGCCCAAACAACTTCACTTGGCTACCATGAAGTGGCAGCCAGTTTATTGTTGTTTCAGTGGAATCTTCAATGGCACTGGTTCAGTGGAAATGCAGAACTAAATCCTGAGGAGATAAATTCACACCAGCACACACCATTTCAAGTAGAAGTCTGTGCCAGCCAACACTTAATAAGGACTAGTTTTAACTAGAAAAGTAGTATGTGCACTTTTTATGCCTAACAAAACTACAATAAAAAAACTGTTCCCTGGATAACTCTGTTGTGTCCTTTTCTTGGACAATGATACCTAATACCTATGCCTGCAAAGTAGGTAATTCACCATGGTACCATGTTAGGGCCCACAGAACACCAAATGAAATAAGCAGCACACTACACTAACAAGATCTTCTCATGCTTGCCATTGTTTAGTCTGGCCAAATTGAAATTTTAGTAGTCATAAGGACACACAGCAATTTAAATCCTCAAAAAGGCTCACACCTACACTTCACTCAGCATTTGACCCCAGTCAGGGATGGTCTTCGGTTGGTGGGAGCAGCTGCAGCCAACTGAATTCAGTTGAGCCATGCCCGTCTTCTAAGGGCATATTTAACTTTGGCATATAAATGCTCCTGTTACCCAGCATATTGTGATCAGATGGTAGGGGTCAGGGTCTACACAACAAACTCTGCTTTACATGGGGGTCTCGCTGTGTAAGTCCACCCATCCATTAAAACATTGCAGTTAGCAGCTATTTTTTAATGCACATAGATACTGAAATTTGTTTAATTCGAACAATGGTTCCCCGTCATCTGGCAAACGTTATACAACATGCAAGCTTACAAATATCGGTATTTGCACCACGTGGAAAGGATCGAATGAATAAACTCCGAGGTTGAGTGAAAACATTACGCTATTCGATTTTGTTACGAAAGTGACGTCATAATAATACTCGTGGCGGAGCAGTGCAGTGCCGAAGGCGATGCCTTAGGAGAGATTACAGGCAAGAGTAAATCAAATATTTTTAGGTTAAGTGGTTATGTATCTGGCTTCAGGCCGAAGGCCTGAAGCCTGATGCATGACCACTTAACCTAAAAATATTTGATTTACTCTTGCCTGCAATCTATTCCTGCAAGTAACTTTTTCCCTATCCCCAGTAGGCAAAAATCAGTAGGTTAGGTTAGGTTAGGTTAGGTTAGGTTAGGTTAGGTTAATTTATGATTTTTACCATTTTTTTCGTCTTTTGTTATTTTGACGTCACTTTCATTGATTATCGTATTTGATTCCCTCCCCACCCATAAACCCCGGTTCCCAACATTTCCCCGAAAATGGCAGCAAAAAGCTTCATATGGCAGCGCTGAAACGGCGGCGTTTTTCCCTCGTCGCATTCATTCGCGTCGTCGGTGCGTGCACGTGGGTATGTATCGTGTTATGAAGGGGTGTAACAGGTTGTTATTTTTGTGTTTTTTTATTTTTCCGCCGCACGTAAGCATGATATCTGGATTCAGAATGTCAAATAATGTAAGAATATGCAAAATTTATGCTTGAACAGTCAATCGGACCTTATGTAAATATTTACCCAAATATCTCTAATTACATTATGGACAAAAACAGGGCGCCTGGGGCAATTTGATCAAGGTTCGTGAAATTTACACGTGAAGTTTGGAATGTAGAAGGCCCAGAGGGGGAGCAGTTCCAAATAACATGTGACTAATATGCCCTGCGGCGCCCTGTTTTCACCGGCGTCCTACATTATTAGCAGACATGCGATGATGATGATGATGAATTGGGGTTTTTGGGCGCCCGGACTACAGTCGTCATCGGTGCCCATTAGCAGACATTCCCTAGGCCGTGACTCATGCTTGGCGATGGGTGTCGGCTGCATGGCATTAGAGTACTATTGCAAAAGCAAAGCGAGGCACACCTGCCGGCAACCGCCTCAACGTGGTTGGTGCGCCAGAAACGTCGACCCGACATCAAACGTTTAATAACGTTGAACAGTTCTTCAGCACGTAAGAAATAATAGCAAAAGACAATTCCATTCGTACTGCTTGATCAAATGGAATGCCTGCAAAGATCACCTACCTCTTTTTTCGCCGGGAAAGCACCCTAACCCTCACGGCGGCGCGGATGCACGGGAGGCGCGTTCAAAAGAGATGGTCAGTCCTTCAGTCACCAAATTTACCGAATATTTGATGAGTGATCCTGCTCTCAAATATTTTTCTCATATAGCATTTGAATGCCTTTTAAAGGCTTCTCTTTTCTGTTTATTCTACACAAAATATACTTTGATTATCTTGGCGTTTTGTTTGTTCTTTTCGTTGCTTTATCTCCTCCAGTACTCTGTACTCGTAGGAAAGCATTTCAGTCGGTATTCGCCCATCTCTATATTTGTTCTTTTCCAAAAAATATTTGTTCTTATTCTGACGTCATTAAACTACTAATAGTAAAGAACTGGCAGTTTTACCTTTTACTTTTCGACTCCTTACATTAACTTCGTGGTTTTTAGCGTGAATTTTCAAAAAAACTTAAGTTTCATTTATATCAGTTTCAATTGACTGAAAGTCTTAGCTCATCCCTTGAGTATTACTTATGACGTCAGTTTACTATTTTTCAAGCTTTATACTGCCTGTGATGTTTTGCTTAGAGTACTTAGCCCTCATCCTTGATGCGCGGATTATTTTGAAATTGAAATTGTTATTGATATTTCAACAAATTGAACTACGAATTCAGCCAACAAATACGGCGTGACGATGCGGTATTACGTTTGATACGGTATGGTATTTCCTTCGGATATTTTTTTTTGCATTTTCCTTGTTTATCCATCTTAATGAATCACTGATTGTATAAGTGATTCAAACAAGTCGAGATGATACGAATAAAAACTATCATTTGCTTTGTAAAGCAAATTTAGCTACAGCCCGGGCTATCCCCAAGGCTATATATAAACCGGCCGTCTCAAATCTCGGTAGGTATCTCTGTTCCGTTCCAGTCGGGGAAACTATGGTAAAATCTGCTATTTTTAGCAGTCTGCTATTTTTAGCAGAAATCTGCTAAAAATGGGTACGCATGTGACGTCATCGTACCCAAATATAGCAGATTTGGGTACGGCCCCATACAAAAGCAGATCTGCATCCTAATAGAAGCAAATGCGCATCAAATGCCTGGCAGATTCATGATGAGAATAGTGCTGAGAGTGATCTCTGCTATTTTTGTTCAGATCCGTCTATTTTCAAATTCATTATTTGAAAATAGTCGGATCTGAACAAAAATATCAGAGGACATTCTCAGCACTATTCTAATCATGAATCTGCCATGCATTGGATGCGCATTTGCTTCAATTAGGGTGCAGATCTGCTTTTGTATGGGGCCGTACCCAAATCTGCTATATTTGGGTACGATGACGTCACATGCGTACCCATGTTTAGCAGATTTCTGCTAAAAATAGCAGACTGCTAAAAATAGCAGATTTTACCATAGTTTCCCCGACTGGTTCCTTCCATCCATTCAATCGTCGCTTCCATTGCTTCCATCCTAGGATTAAGGATAGGTACTGAAATCCTTCTCCACTCTGCTGCTCCGCAACCCCCACTCTGTGCTGGACACTGGACAGGCACCCTTATCTCGTGCTGGCTGCTCCCTTGGAGCGGCACCACTGCTCCTGAGGGAGCGCACCCTGTAGGCTGTAGCCAGGTGCAGAGCAGTCGGGGAAACTATGGCAAAATCTGCTATTTTTGACAGAAATCTGCCAAAAATGGGTATGCATGTGACGTCATCGTACCCAAATATAGCAGGTTTGGTTACAGCCCCATACGAAAGCAGATCTACACCCTAATTGAAGCAAATGCGCATCAAATGCCTGGCAGATTCATGATGAGAATAGTGCTGAGAGTGATCTCTGCTATTTTTGTTCAGATCCGACTATTTTCAAATTCATTATTTGAAAATAGTCTGATCTGAATGAAAATATCAGAGGACATTCTCAGCACTATTCTAGTCATGAATCTGCCAGGCATTTGATGCGCATTTGCTTCAATTAGGGTGCAGATCTGCTTTTGTATGGGGCCGTACCCAAATCTGCTATATTTGGGTACGATGACGTCACATGCGTACTCATTTTTGGCAGATTTCTGTTAAAAATAGCAGACTGCTAAAAATAGCAGATTTTACCATAGTTTCCCCGACTGAGAGAGTGCTTGGATGGCTGGTCGGTCGGCCTGTCCATTGACCATTCGGACGAGCTCAGCCCCTGCAACTCTCTAGGGTATCTGCCTAGACTGTTTTTTCCTAATTCCTATCATCCTTACAGCTCTGAAATGGTCTCATCAGACCGAAAGGGCCTTACCCCCAAAAAAAGCTTGGTAGAGCATTTGACTCCCGGTGGTAGTTGAGAGCCTTGGTTCAGGGTTCGAGTTGCTCAGATGCTTGATATTTGAAACTCCTAATGGGGATGGTCTGTAGTTGCCAGTTGGTGGGAGCAGCCACAGCCATTTGAAGTCAGTTAAATAGGACAGGCCATCTCAAGTGTCATTACTCGTAATTATATATTACTAAAGGTTAACTTTTTTCTGTAATATATTAGCATTTACTATTTTTTACCTTGTAGCCAGAAACTGAAAACTTTTTTTACATTTTCACATTTTTTAGCTCAGTGTAGCCAGCAACAGAAAGATTATTTGCTTTCTTTTGAAACAATTAATGTTGATAGGTCCTTGCAGGTGCCATATTATGGATGATGAAGCTCACATAGTTGCACAGTTCAGGTACCAATGCCAATTTTGTATTTTTTGACAGCATTGACCTGCAGGTGTTCAATAAAGGTTTGCATGGCTTCAGACACAGTCAGTAAGATTACTGGTGCTCAGCCTTGCCTCTTGCCTTTTTAGGTGTTTTTTTTTCTATAGGACATGGATGCTCCATGTTACATTAAATTTCCCATGCCAAGTTTCTGTGATGAGAATGAGGGGCTGAATCATATCCCAATCCTATCCTATCCTATGTAATTCATGCTGCATGAAGAGTGAAGATGCATTTTCTGAGATGATCTGTATTTTCACAGGTTATTTAGAGTAACGAGCCACTGCCACCCCATTCAGTCACAAATAATGTCTCGTCGCCGGGGTCCGACCCCGCGCCATCGCCATTGCTCGCTGAGTCCTCTGCCGGCCGAGGCGGGCGCTGCGCTGTCCCTGGCGCAGGGGGACGTCCAGAAGCTGATCCAGCAGCTGCCGCCCTCCGACGACCTGCTGGAGTACTACCGTGCCAAGACGGATCAGTTTCAGCGCCGGCTGGAGGGGCTGACCGACCGCCTGGACCAGTGAGTGGTGCCGGATCGCGGGAGTCGCCGCTGATTGGGAGAGGTCTAAACTCTGACCCAGGGGTGGGAAGAATGCTAGTGGTGAAAGAAAGACCGATATGGATTATTACGCTTGACCGATATCGATAGATTCGACACAAAAAAAAAGAACGTCTGCCTGCAGCATATCCGATGCTTTTTGGCGATGAAATGAACTCGAAACTTACTTGATGTGAAAAACAACAACGCCTACTTTCTAAAAACATACAATACTCACTATCTAGTATCTACAAACAGCAAAACAAATGTTTCAAACATGCCTTAATTTTGGACAAACCATGCTCTAACACCTGATCGCCATGTCTGCCACTCACCCGCGTCTCTCGCCCCGCTCTGCCCCCGTCACACAGGTACCGCGCGGCAGTGGAGGACGCCCACGAGCTGCAGGAGCAGCTGACAGCTCGTGACACCGAGCTCTCGCAGCTGCAGCAGGCCATCAGCGATATGCAGGTGTACGTCTTCCAGGAGAGAGATCAGGTGCTCCGACTGCACTCGGAGAATGACAGACTCAAGGTGGGTGGCTGTTCCGCCCGCCGGGTTATGCGTGAGACTCATACCACGCGGTTATGTCGGTATGGTAGGTTCAAGAATGGTGTGGCTGATATGGGACGTTATAAAGGATGCTTTGGTGATTGTGCATCGTAGGTAGCGGCATAGCCCCGATGAGATGTGTACTGGCTGGCTGATACCTACTCGCCGTAAGATGTGGCTCGTCTTCATAGCAGAGCCGTTCGGCACCTACCTGTCTACACTGCCTGTTCCAGTATTTAGTTTGACTTATCTACCACTTACCAGTAACTATCTCTATCGTTCCTGTCTGCACTCAGATCCAGGAGGTGGAGGACCGGCGGAAGATCGACGTGCTGCTCTCGCTCTCCGGTACCACCGAGTCCAGTCTCACCTACTTCATCAAGGAGCTGGACGAGGGGAAGCTGGTGAGGCAGCACCTGCCGCCGCAGCTGAAGGAATTCGCCAAGGAGCTCAACCGCAAAAACAGGCTGGAGGGTGAGTGAACAAGTGATTGGTTGCCAATGCCGCTAGTTTGTGATTCTGATTGTCCCATGAATACAGCTGTTATACCTACCTACTCAATAGCATAATGAAAATCGTGAATTTATGAGCTGCCTCCCGAAATGTGAATAAAAGCAGACGTTTACATTTGAGCTTGAAGGAGATTGAGTGACATTTCATTATTCAACAAAGTACGAACGGTTTTTATGTGAAGTCCTCAAAGTTTAATCCAGGTCAGCTAAGAGCTTTCCTTATTCCGCAACCCGCCTATATGCATGATATATCACCAACGTTGTTGGTTGGTAGTGATGACGGTGTGCAGAGAATTGCCTGTTGTATCCATAATTTACATCAGCTTTACAACAGCTTTATTTGTACCTGCTTAGGTCACATCGCTTGCCTGCAGACCCACTAACTAACGGTTCTCAGTCCCCAATGCCTGACGGTCCATACCGTTCTCCGTTTATAAACACAGCCGGGGACGGAGATTTGGACGCGAAGCCGGTACCGGACGCGGCCACCCTGCAGCTGGAGCTAGGCTGTGTGCGCGCCCAGCTGGAGGAGCGGACCCGGCTGGCACGCGAGGAGCGCCAGGCACTGCTGGACGATCGCCGAGTCAGCGCTGAGGAGAGACAGGCCGAGCGGGCCAAACGCGACCAGCGGCTGGCCGCCTACAATGCAAAGTACGTGCAATGGAGATGACGGGGTAGCTGTACTGAAGGCTACATTGTACTACATCTTGAGTGGTGCATGGCATATATCAATATGCGTTTGTGGTATGATCGCGTATTGCCATGCGGGGGGGGGGGGGTCGATTGATGTGAAATATTTGATCACCTCTGATGGTCGAGTCCGCGACGGGCAGTCTGTATGGTAGTCTATGACAGGATCGGCGAACCCATCACAGGCAATCACTGACCTCTGCCCACCTTCTACTTCCCCACACTCCCCCAGACTGCACGAGACGCAGAAGCTGCTGTACAGCGCCAGCCGCGACCTGCTGCGGATGCACAGCGAGCACCAGCAGCGCGAGCGCTCCTGGATGGCCGAGAAAGACCAGCTGCTGCGCGAGCGAGAGATGCTCTGTCAGAACCTCAGCGTGCGGCTGCCGGCGCGCTGCGAGCGCGGCTCGCAGGCGGAGCCGGCACCGGGACGGAGCGCCGCGAGCGGACCGGACCGGGCCGACCGGCCGGCCACCGCCAATGTGGCTGTCATGGCGCGGGCCAACTTCCAGACGGCCTACCAGAAGCTGCGACAGCGCGCCACCGAACTCATGGTGAGAGGGGGACGTGATGCGATAGACCTAACAGTCACAGGGCAACTCACTCTGGGATACCGGGTCTGTCGGTGTAAAATGAACGGCTTTGTTTGCCTCTACGGTGGCTTGTTATCGTGAGTAGACTGCAGTTCAGTTCAGTAGACAGTGTCTTGAAAAGTTCTTACATTGCGAATTGCGATGTTAGCTCTATTTTTATAAGTTTTTTTTTTGCGGGTACCGACTTAGTTTGCTGTTCAATCTGCTTTCGATAATTGCTCGTTGTTTCTGTACGATTATCCACTTACCACGGCCCACGTAAAGCATTCATTATTCTTCCCTTACCACTACCACTGACCGACCGTCTCATGTGTTTGTCCCTCTGCTCACAGCATCAGCTGGAGGACGCCAACACGCGCTGTGCCCAGTACCGTGAGCAGTGCACGCGACTGGAAAAGTTTGTTTCGGAGGTGCGCGACGCGCGCGAGACGGACCGTGAGGAGTTCAAGGTAGGTGTCCGGCGGTCACACTACCAGGCTGGGTGGGCTGTCGGTTTGTATGCTCATATTCATTGTTTAGGAATTTTTTATGCTTTAGTGCTTTTGTCTGAGGTGGTCTCAGTGGGTAGTTTTATGCGGCCTGATTCAGAGCAGGACTGTCGCGCCGGACACAGACACAGCGCTCCGTTCGAACTGTATTCGCCGCCTGACCCTCGGCTCGGCCGACCCCAAACCAACCACGTGACCTAGCCGACCGGGTCAAGGTCAGCTGAATATCCGACAACTGCGGAGTCATAGTCGGAGTCGGAGTCGCAGTCGACAGTTCTGTCTGATGTCGGAGTCGGAGTTGGTTTTTGAAAGCCGGAGTCGAAGTCACCGAAATTCCGTCGACTCTGCAGCCCTGGTACAGAGAAGCATTTCTCTATTCATGTTTCCCAATGGCCATCGAGCCTCGCGAACGACCGGTTGAATAGACAATACTTAATTTGTTATATTTGATACATTTCCATCTATTTTCCTAGCGCCTGCACGCTATGTTTCACTTGTACTCTTTAAATTTCTCTCCTAAAGATAACTTGTAGCATGAGTGTAGATGTTCATTATTCATAGTTAAATGTTTTATGTCTCCCTTGGTTTGTGGCCCCTTGAAATGCGCTGTAGGTACTCAGCTTGCACTGCTTTGTTTTTTATATTTACTGAATAGGACGTTATTTGGGTGTCTCCCAAGTCATTACCGCTAATAATCGTACCACTTGCGGTATTTCATTTTCACCGTAGACTCAAAACAACAACAGATTGTAATAAATGTAGATACCTCATGCAGAAGCCGCTGACTTCTAGATGAATACTAGGTGGAAGGCAAAATAAAAAGCACTTAGTTGCTTCACCGCGTCACAATTATCAAACTAGGATTGTTTATTTTCACGTTAGCTTTTACTGGGGTCATAATGCTCTGAAGCTCCATACTAGTCATATCACATATGGGCTCTTGCCGCTCACAACGTGATGAGCAAAGTGCGAATATGCAATATGCATTGTTTGCGTCGAAAAAGCCATTAGTTTCGTCATAAACACCGTTAAAGTGTCATAACCTGATGATGAAGAGCAAAGACGATAGTGAAGTCAGTTCGGTGTTGTGCATTTCGCTTTGACGTGCGAAAAGTTATTGTGTATTGGGTCTGGACTCTGGATGCAGGCCATCGAAGGCGGTAAACGGTTGCAGCCTAATGCACCTGGCGAAAGAGCACCATTATAAACGCCTCGTATTTCCTGCCGCCAGCAATCGGCGTTACCAAGGCGCTGCCCCCAACCAACGCTGGCTGGCCGCTGCTGAAAGTCTCTATTCGCTCTACTTTTAGTAGCGTTAGCCAGTCAGCACTATGCATGTGCCCGTGCATTGTAAAAGTCTAGATAAAATGAATGTGCGGTGCTTTCAGATTCAACTTATTTATGCATTGTCTCATGCCAAAATCTTCGTAGAGACATCTGAAGTTATGGCTTTGAAACGACTGTCCTAATGGACATATGCTCCTTGCCTCGATAAAGGTTTTACATGCCTGACAGCCTTACCATGTCTACATCGGTGGCTGATCACGTGCTCAGGCATCATGATTGCGAGCGAATCGACAAAGCTATCAGCATAGGAAGAACAACCGCGTAATGCTTCGATTCATATCCTCCCAAAGCACGTTCTATTTTACGAGCGAACCGACAGAGCAATGAGCATGGATAGAACTACCGCGTAATGCTTCGGTTCAGCACCTCCCAAAGCACATGCTATCTGTTTACCTTAGTTGGCTGCTGCCGTAAGTTTCGATCAAATATGGGCTATGGCCTTCGCATCGCGTTTAGAGCCCGGCCCCTAACTAGTTATCTGTATTTGAGTGATTGTTTTGATGACGCTGCAAATGAGTTGTGTGTTCCCTTCATACATGCAAAGCGGTTCCACACACTCCTCACTACGGAAAACACCGCGAAGCGCCACAACATTGCAGAATTTAACATCGCTACACAAGCAGCCGCACATAGGCCATTGCCCTGAGTGGATTAGCACGATGCACTTGCCTGTTCCCTCCCACTCATGCCTCTAATTTCCTGAAGCCTCCAAATAATTAACTGTGTTCACTGCCCTACCGTTACATGAACGTAGTGCGGAAGTGTCAGCATTCCTGGTCATTTCCCGGATTTACACTGGCACGATCATAGTTACCTACCGCACCCGTTGACCCAGACATTTGATGCGCGCCCCCAGCGCTAACACAGCCCTGGAGGGCCGTTCGGACGGAAACCGCCGACAGCATTACGTGATGTATAGGCGGCTCATGCCATGGATGTACTCGGAGCATGAACCAGCTGGGGGAAACTGCCTGGTGCCATTATGGATTATAGGGGAGAGTGGGGCGCTTTCGTTCATGGGGCACATTCGTTCATGGCAGTTTATGGGAACACGAATGGCTGTCCATGCTCAAGGTAAATTATAAGAACATTCCTAGCATTGTATCCCCTCGTTCACTGTAGAAAACAACATTGTATCTGCGATCATGCTTGATAAAAACGAAAAGTTGTATTATTCGCGCACTTTCCAAACTTTTTCCATAGCATCCATTTTCGTGATCCTGACTCGGAAATGTGGTTCAGCTTTTTGAAATTGGCGGCGAAGAAGCTCACTCTTTTCACGGAACTGCTGCAAACTTGTTTTGTTACAAAAGTGTTATTTTTCAACAAAATTGTTTGAAATACATTAAAAATACCGTTGTGGGGCAGGTTCGTGCACGCACTGGCTAGGGACACATTCGTACATATTTTTTTCGTTTTGCGATTTACGACTTTATCTGTAGTAGGTTTCACTTATGACGCTCGCCTGACTCAGTCTCGGCTGCTTGCGACGTCGTGACAAGTAATTCACGCGTCCTTGACGAGGTCAAGGAGGCAGGTCGATGGCCGGCAGTTGGCACATTCTCGTTGTCCAGCCTTTTCTTTCTACATTTGTTGTGCAATGCATTCCTGGCGTAGGGAATCGAGTGGAATGGCCCCCTGCCAATTTCTTTTGGTAAATTTCTGGTAATGCCCGGTAATTCCTCGAACTTTGCAGGGTGCACGGAAGTGCCCCACCCTTGCACGAAAGTGCCCCATACCTGGGGCTGTTTCGTGCAAACGTTCAGAATTATTAACCCTATTAGTGGCAGGCTCCTGGCTACCCCATATTAGTGGCAGGGGGGGGGGGGCTGTTTACGACCCCCCTTGATATCTCGAGATCTAACCGGCCGATTTTCAAAATTCAAACGGCATTCGATTTGGCTCAACGAGATCTACATTTCTAAAAAAAATAAAAAATGTCAATAGGGGGGTAGAGGGGGTAAAAACGGGCAAATTGCAGATACATTTTAGACTGTTTATCACGGCCAGGTTTCTGAACCAATCTTAACGCAACTTTTGCCGATCGAAAGAGAATGAACCAGGAATTCACATGGATCCTAAAAATATGCATTTTCAAAAATCATAGGCGGATACAGATCATTGAGATTGGGGGTACACAAAAAGTATAGTAAATAAGGTTTTTGTTGGTACTGTTTCTAAAAAGGGTGGCAATGGTCTTGTTATGTTACAATTTTCTTATGAGAGAACGACTAAAATTGTATTGGTCATGCATAGGCGGTGTCAGGGCACCTATGTTGGGAGGTAAAAAATAACCCCCCTTTTTGGACGCCTGGATCCGCCTATTATAGCAAAAACGTGTCAAAAGAGGATGCACAATAACTTTGTATATGTTATCACATGATACCTTTCATTCACTGTTCGTAAAACTGGTGCAGCATCGTGATCTTCGCCCAAATGACTCGCTTCACGAATAGGACCCCCAATTCCCAGTGCTCTGGAGCCGCCCCTGGTAAAGTTATGAACTTGAAATTTTCAGGGAATGTGCCCAATTTAGTTTTAGGAAAAGTCAGAAAATTTCAGCATCGTAGCTTCAGCGGTTTCGGAGATATTCCCGAAAAACCTGAGGGGTGAATAAAAACAACCCCCCCCCCCCTGCCACTAATAGGGTTAAAAGCCATTTTTTAAAGTTGCGATAACTTTAGAGGAAAACTTTTAGAGAGGAAAAATATCTGCAATAGTTCCTTTCCATGCTACAATCAACAATTCTACCCTTGCACCAACCAAATAACAGATATATGGATTTATCCATTTTTTTGCACGAATGTGCGCCACTTTCCTCTACATTACTGCCGATAGTTTGGGAACTGGGCCGACAGTGACAACGAGCGCTGTTCTCGTAAAACTGATTGGAAAGGGATTGATCGCGCACTGATGTGTTTAATACTGACCTGCTTACGGTGATCTATTTATGTGCGCTGGCTTATGCTTCTGTAGCTTGAAAGGGTTTGAAGTTGTGGGTAAACATAACTGGTAAGCGGCATCACATTCTGTTTATTTACGGTCCACGCCCCGTGGCCGTATCCAACTCGCCTTTCATGTGCAGCAGTCTCCTTATCTAAAGTTCCGGCCCTTGTGTCGGACTAGCTTCGGCTGTATGATATCAGTCTCTAACACTGTATTCTGTCCCAGTGTCTAACCCCCTGCCCCTTCCCTTTCAGGAGCGCCTCTCGCGTATGCGCGACTCTGTACTCACCATGAAGAACCGGTACGACGAGCTGGAGCGTCGGCGTCGGCTCGAGGCCGAGGGGTTCCGCAGTGACGTGCGCCTCTTGCGCGGCGACGTGCGCGCCCTCGAGAGGAAGCTGGGCAAGCTCACCGGACAGTTCTTCGGAGATGTGGATCAGCATGCCAGCAGAGAGGTGAGGGACGTCGTGGTCGCTTGGGCAAGGCGGGTTTTAGGGGCTGTGCCAGGGGGTACGCTCCGGTCTTTCAACATTACGAAAGTGGGAACATTTGCGCTAGCGTTGCCAGCACCGTGAGCATTCTAAACAACAAATGCAGTAATCCCAACAATCAGCGTGAGTCAATACTTGACTCTCATTGGCTGATGAGCCAGTGACGATTTTGGGGCCAGAGCGTTAGAGGCGTAACCTATGGCAGCACGGGCCGTTCAGTTTAGGACTTGATTTTGATATTATTTAGGCCAGTTTCATACAACTCGGATCGTTTATGAAACTGCAATTCATTCTTGTACTGGTCCAAGAAGTCTTTTTGCTTTTTTCTGAAATAATTCGTTGAAAAATGAGTTACTAGAAGATGCTTACTCATGCCAAATTTGTCCCTTTACCATGGCAACCTGAGTTTGTTTGGCCCCCCAAAGTTGCGGTTACCAAATTCATTTTTGTCCCCACTTTTTCGTCTGGAGCGTTCTACCTGGTCTACCTGGCCTTGGGTTGTGCGAAGTAGTCGTGTTGCATGGTGAAATGAAACGCTTCCAATATATTTTAACCCGCGCCCCAGTGGCGGTCTCAGCCAACTTCGCCCTAGTGGGGGGCATATGTTACCACCCACCTCTAACTCAAAAACTAAGAGGGGTAGAAAGACGCGGTAAAAAGCAGTCGATAGCTCTCAATGCGTACGTTTGAAAGTATTTCGGTCATTTTTCACCTTTGAGCAATATTGGGGTCACCAGAGGTCATCAAAGGTCAAAATTTGCCAATTGTCATTATATTTTTCAGAAAACATGCCGCTATCTCAGGAACTATGGTAGCTAGAAAAACGCATGGAACAGCAAACGATAGCTTTTGAGCTCTTCTTTTGAAAAGGCCATTATCAATATTGACCTCAGGTCAACGGTTTAGCCTCCAGAGGGCAAAAACTCCAAAAATAGCTGTTTTTACGAAAAGTGTTTTTCAACAATAACTTTTGACTACAAAAAGCCACGGCATTTCTATTGCCAGAATCGTGTTCCCCTCGCCGAGACGCGTCGAATGAACTATAATTTGACCTTGAAAGGTCAACCTGAAAATTTGACCTCAGGTCAAGGTCATGACCTGACCGGAAAAGGTAATGTTGCATATCAGTCGATGCGTCTCAACAAGACAAACACAATGAGACCATCCCCAGCGTTCTATCTCTTTCCAATCGCGAGTTATTGGCAAAAAAACTGTTTGTAGCCTCAAGTGACCTCAGATGACCTGTCTAGAGGCTATCAGCAAAAATGACACCTTGGTCATCACGAGTGGACTAAATCATTGTGATTCTGAAATATTTGGACTGTTCCCATGCGTACACACGGATCTAGAGGCATTTTCATTTTTCTCCATTGCCTTATAATGGTAAGGTCACGCCACTGACCTGACCTTAGGTCACGGATATGAAAAATCCGAGATATACAAATTGTAGGCGCCCATAACATCATGCAATCCACCAAGTTTGAAACCTTTCTGACAAGCAATGCAGGCTGGACATGATTGCAAACTTTTTTTAGGCTTGGTCAGTTAACTTGACCTGGTGACCTGACCTGACATGACCTGGGGTCAAAAATTTCACACATTGTCCAAAATTGAGGTACAAAAAGCTTCCCCTAAGCGGCGCGGCGCTACGCGCCGCGCTTTTTTATTTACACGCGAAAAACGCGACAGGGTGGTAACATATGCCCCCCCCCCCCCACTGGGGCGAAGGTTAAACCTAAGGTAGCACTGTATTTTCATCACATTGAATGGCTTGGCCAAAGAGCACATGTCAACTGTATTACATGATTGGTAGAAAATTGTGTATGCCATCATATGACAAATGGAGAATGTAATTCCTAGGATTCCCCGAGCTGAATGCCCGCTGCTTCATCGACCCATAAGAAACTACAACGTTGCATTGAGAATGAGGACGTCCTGCACATTAGAATACAAGCGTCCGTTTCCGTATTGCATGATCGTGCGCGTCAAACGCTTTGCAATGTTTGTCATGTACATATAATATTGGTAACGCTGGAGTACAGATACCTAGCAAACGAGGCCCTAGTGCAATATGGATGACGACTAAAAGGATGAAGTCCCCATGGGAGCCTGAAATTTGCATTCATCAGCTCGTTACTTTTTCGCAATGCTGTATGATTCAACCGTGCAATAAAGCTATGAGTATATGAAGTCTTAATAGTAATGTAATGTTTTCACTGATATCGGTAACCATAGGCGGCGGAACGGGGAGGGCACCGGGGCACCGTGCCCCCCTTTGATTTTGGCATTTAAACATTAGCCCTATGGGCGTTGCATGGAAAGAATGGGACCAAAAGTCGGCGGTGCCACCCCCCTTAATTGAAGGTGTTCCGCCGCTACTGTCGGTAACCGCAAGCAATGTATTGGAATGTAGTTTCTATGGCCTTGATTGGAATATGCTCGGTTTGTATTGCAATAATTGCGATGATTGTAATAGCATTTCAATTATGTACCTGAGTAACTATACTTTTCCTAATCAGTTTTTTTTTTTACCACCCATACCCACTGCTGTCCACATTTTTTTTAGGGTTTAAGTCACCTGCTGCTTAGTTGTGGTAGCTATTTTCATTTTGTGACGTCGTAAGTGACGTCGGAAACTTCCAAGTTCGTTGTAAAAATTGCTACTGCTATCAGGCCGCATCGGAACCCTTGTGGAGCCGTCTCAACGAGTTCCTCCCAGCCGTTGCCGGGATTCGAGCTGCTTACCGGATCCACCAATGACACCCTCACCCGTGACTGGTGCGACCAGGCGCCATCAAATCCTGACCGTCACCAGTTTCTGGTCCAACGTGGTTGGCATCGACATAGGTATCCTAAACTTGTGCCCATACCTTGCTGTTTATGCAGGGTCAATGGCTCCCTTTTACCTCGCTCGTTTTATTGTATACATATCGCAACCATACGGGCTGTAGCCATTTACGACCGGAGTTATAAGGCTGGTCACTCTCTGGGGCATTATCGTCTTCGATACTGTGCTTTGTTGGGACAGTAATTCCTCCGGACCGCAGACTGACCTCAGTTCTATTTTTCATGACGGCGGATAATCGCACTCAAAAGTGCGACAAGGCCCTTCTATCTCCCTCACTGTCTTTCTTGTAAACTCTTCAAATATTACATTGGTTTTCTCGAGTGCTGTAAGTAAGCGTTAGATTTATTTGTATTGTTCGATTTTGTTCCATCATTTAGATTTTTTTATGTGAAAATCAACCATGAAATCATCATCAACATCAAAGCATCATCATTAACCACCAAATCAACCAGTCCACGGATCACATTTTTTTTTGCAAACTGTCTCAAAGGATGATGTTTTTTGACGCCGGTCTTGGATTTATTCGCCTAGGTATCGTTTTAGAGCACTACTAGCCCATGAATCATTACAACCCATGTCACAACTGACATTGGGAAGTAGAGACCATAGTGGGGAAATCCCGCTCCAGATATGTAGCTTGGGGCAGTTGCAACTAGTCCATTTACAAATTGATCGCAATGATGTGTTATCTTCCGCCACCCGCTCTTCCCTTTCTGTCGACAAATAGAATAGTTCAATGGAGTACACCAGCTCTTTATTGTGCCACCGTAACCACTTAGTCGTGAAGCCACGATCCAACATTAATTGTGTTTGGTGAAAGTTGTGCACTCACTGTGCCATAGACAACGGCCTAGCTTACCATTGGTGTACGTTTGTCTGGACGCAACGGTGTGCGGCGGCTATTGGTCATTATAGTGAGTGGGGACATGCTACAGAATAGTTACGATACTTCTATTTTGTAGTCAGCTGATGTGCAGTCTGGCGGGCGGTGTTCAGGCCCGGGAACGGTGATAATGTCGCTTCCTTGTGGATCAGCGGTTAATTGGCTATGTGTTTGATTTGACTCTTCCGGGACGATAGGATTGGTAAACAATACCCGACTCAGTTGACTGATTTGACGCGCCATTGAAGAGTAATTCACCATATCCTCCCCAACCCTTCACTTGATTTACAAATAATATTGTGTGCTGTGCTTGTTGTCCCTCTGCTCACTATAGGGACTGAAGCGACCCGTTCGATTTTTTTTTCCACGAAGCTGCCCGTCTCACAGACCGAAGCAGGACGATGTCACGGCTGTATGTCTGTGTGTCACGGCTGTGTATCTGTGTGTCTGCATGCAGACGTGTTTAATGCGAGCCTGGACGGGCGACAGACAGTTTGATTGCCTGTTTGTCCGGACACAGTGGCTCCCCACTTTGTGAAGTGCCGCTATGCAGCCGTCACTGTCACTGTCGCGCTAGGTCATCAGTATCTGTCTACTGATATATTCGAATATATACGACATCAATTGTTTTGGTTTCACAACACAAGCTAGAGCAGAAGCTAGGAATCGCCAGACTGCTTTGGTTCTCCGTTCGCTTCTTGCTTTTGTACAGTTAACGCCGTGTTTCTACATTTTCTCATGGTGTTTCTACACTCAGTTTAATTACGTTTAGGTTTTATTATCAGTCTGTCTGCTCTTCTACAGCCCTTGAAATGTCAATGTTGGTGGAGTATCGTTACTTGTCTCGTATAGTTAGCTCAGTTCCTGTCCGATTTCCTGGCCTGTGAACAGTTATCAGCCTGCAAATGTAATCAGTGGAAGTGGCTCCACGTAATTGAGGCTCTACCGTCGACCGGTCTGCGTGAAACACCACTGCGGGTTTGGCCATAGACCAGTATATACCGTACGGCCGCTGGTCGGTGAAGTACCTGCTACAGTAGGTACCCCTACTGCACCGCTCGCTGCAATCGACCACAGTAGAGACCGCTCTACCGAAGTTGTAAACAGACTAATTGATGAGGCTGCGGACATGTCACAATTTGCAACGTAGAGAGAGAATTGGTCTGTCTGAATGTTGAGTTATGTATGCATCCATGTTTGCTTTCAGGCCATTGTGTTATTCAAAACAGATGTAGTCGTCTCTTTTCTTCATTTCCGTCTTTAACCTTCTGCTTTGACGAGTAGAACAATTACAATACCGTGTGCACAATTATACAATACCGATGTTTTCTTCTCCGCAGGTCTGGTCTCAGATGTCGCGAAATCTGGGCAACACGGCCAAAATTCTGGAGGAGATTCGTCGCTCCAAGACTCAGATCTACCAGCTGGAGAGGGAGCTGGCGGGTCTGTGGGGCACTGGTCAGCAGGCCGGTAGGTGATGACCGATCCTACACGACCGAAGTAGGTCTCACTACTTCGTTCTCACTACTCTCTCGGTCTACGAGTGCGAACACTGAGCACTGCAGTGACTCGCGCCGACATCAGTTGAAAAAAACGCCCCATATCATACAGTGGTGTCACGAATGACGAGTTTCGTTGTCTTGAGGCATCCGTGAGGTTTGACCACAGTACCTGAAACTTTGGACGTTCAGATGGCTGGACATTGTGCAGTGACATATTGGACGCTGTGTTACGCCGAAAACGGCTTGTGGTGCATGATGCGAACACAGCGAAACAGCGGCCGACAGACTTTGCGGTGTGGCTGTGAACGGGCGCTGCGCGGTGCTCACGACGTGTCCTGTGCTCTGTGATACCATGCTCGTGTGAACGTTCGGGTAGATGCGGCGCCCTCAGTGGTGATCACTGGGGAGACTTTCTGTAGTTGCCTGTCCATAGCTCGTACACAGTTCGGAGCTGCTCGGGCAGAGATAGGGGCAGAAACGAGAGCTGTGCTGTGCGTGCCTTAGTGTGTTTGTATGTTTGGGGGAGGGAGGGCATGCGCACGAATCGACCTTATCGAGCACGCTCCACAGCGGTCGTTTTAGCCACTTTGTGGTCCGAAAATCTCGTCACTCTGCTCAGTCGTTGTATATTTTGCACAAGATCGAATTTGGAGATATAAAATCATAATGGCACTTTTTTACGTGTGATTAAATTTCATTGTGAGTTTTCGCTCTTCAAAAATAATATTTTGCTGTTAGAAAGCAAAACTTTTTGGTGTAGGAAATCATTCCGCCGGGTGTCATTCCATGGTGGTACATCTTCAGGTATTCGAGTTTGCAAATGTGCTAAAATCAAGAGCTCTACACTCACTCGTCGTTACTCAATCTCGGGGAAGCATGGAGCCGTTTAATGCTATATCGGGAATAACACTGATGACAATGGTATTATGTGTTTTAACGAGCGCACCACTTATACATTTCAGTAATAAACTTATGTATCGAAGTTTTTCGTGGGGTCCATAAGATTATATTTCATTTGAACATGTCAACGTTTTTCATTACACACTACACTTGCATAGCCTACTTCAAGTCCTTACATTGCTATGTTTGTGTCGTTTACATAGTATGCAGACGTGGAGTCTCGTGTATTTGTCCATTATTATTATCGATTCGACGCCGAAATTATTCGTGCTATAAGACTTCAGTAAATGGTATCACCGATCGCTGGCACTCTATCGGATCGGTTAGGTAGGGGGTGTGCCACTCTCAGCCACTCTATTTAATTTGGACCGCCAGTGATAACGCCTGGATGTCGTAGTTGACCTTTCCTTTTCCGCCTTAACTTCCTTCCGTCTGGATGCCTGACATACGTTCCGTCGCTTCCACCACTGGATATTTCCTCTGCATTCATGTATTCGACATTCGGCAATCACATCAAGGCAGCATGGGGACACCGACAGTCGTGCTGATTGCCGAAGGCCAAAAGCTGTTCGGGGAATCCTTCATAAAAGTGAAAGTCACATGCATGTCTCTGAAATCCTAGCAAACTCTGTAGGTATAAAGCGTTGTTATATGATATAGAGGGTAATGAATTCATGCGCTTACCAATGCTCCTGTTTTACTCGATGGCTTCGCGATCTCGAGGTCAAAGCGTCTCTTTGTATCTCCCATCAAGTCCACAGTTCTACACTCGTGGCCGTTCACCCTGATCGGGTCTGCCGCGGGCGCCGATTCGTTCAGGATGGCCGACAGTCCGCGACCATCGTTATCATCTCTCCAGATGACGCCGTGAAGGAGGCACGTCCGCCGCGATATCTCGTGCATCTCATACACGTGCAAAACCGTCATCCCACCGGATCAGCGGCATCTGACCGGCTACTGGTCTCTGGAGGAGGTTGCAAACGGTCTACCATTATTGCGGTCCTTCCGTGGTATCTCCCGTTAGGTGGCCCGGGTGCCATCTGCTGCCGGGGTCGCCGCACTCCGCTGGTTCTTTTTAGATGGTGTTATGGGATGAATGGATAGCGATGTCCCGCGAGAAGTGTTATTGAAAGGGTCATTTAACCCTCGCCGGACCTATTGGTTTTCTACATACGCGCCGGCCGAGGGGGGGAGGCGGGTACCCAGCCAGCAATTCGTCCGGGATGCGGTTGGGGACGGTCGGGATAGGCTCCGGATGTCCCGACTTGTCCCCACCGGGTTGGGTAGGCTTGGGTTGTCCCAATCGATACCGGACCTCGATGGCCGGCGGTAGGGGCGACTCGGGATTTCCGGACGGCATGCTTAACGGTTGGGACGCGGTACGGATAGCCCAATCGAATCCCATGTTTAGACAGGCTTGTGATTTACGTTGTTATCCCAACCGATCTGAGAAGGCGCTTCGGGCACCATATCCGGTGGCCCAGAAAGCCTGGAAAAGCAATCAGATGGGCCGCGTGCAGGCAGACGCGTCCTCTGAGCGCAGCGGCCAGTCTAGCTGCCGCGTCGGTCAAGTGTCGATCCCTCCTTTGAGCTGCTGCCTTAGGATATTGCTTTTGAACTGGCTCTAGCAAGCGGTCGGTTCAACTGTTGTCGTTGCAGGAAAATCAGTCCGTCTTTGAGAACAGGGTGAGTATAGTGCACACTTCATCCGTGATGTAGGGAGCGGGAAAGCTATAGGTAATATAAATTTTTATGTTCGTTGTGGATTACACTCGTGCTGGCGCATGTTTGATCAGTTATCATGGACAGAAAATGTTTGGTCTCATTGTCAAGTGTCGTTGGTTACGGAGCGAGCGAAGCGAGCGTAGTCTTTCCTTAGATTAACGGAAATTTCTGAGTATGAGCGGCCGGCCGGCCGGCCGGCCGGCCGGCCGTGGTCACGCTTTTGCGAGGCTTATATCTCAGCAACCACTTGACCGATTTACATGCGGTAATTTTTATAGGGTAGCTTCATTCCTTCTACCAAGTATTGGACTATTCCCGATGCATGTGAGTGACCCCTTATGCACGTGCCACGTGCAAAACGAAGAGGTGTCAGTTTTGCAATTGTTGCAATATTTCGGTAACTACTTGGCCGATTGCGCTGAAAGTTGGCATGTAGGTAGGCACCCACTAGGCACTGCATATCCATGTGCCAGAGTTGGGGTGCTGCTGCACGTGCGCACGTGCAGGGGTCGTTTCCAGATCTCGAGAACGGCTGGACCGATTGCGCTCAAATTTGGTACACAGTTAGGGACCGGTTAGTAGGGTGCCGTGCAAAAGCCAGTCGGGACCCATTTTGCACGTGCGCACGTGCAGGGTGCCGCTCCCAGATCTCGAGAACGGCTGGGCCGATTGTGCTCAAATTTGGCAAATCGCTAGAGACCGGTTAGTAGGGTGCCGTACACAAGTCAGTTGGAGGTACCCCCTCGAAATTTCGCACGTGCAAGGCTCACCCTCTCGCTCGCTCCGTTAGTCGCCCCAAAAGGCGCTATACTGGTTGCATTGTAGGCTTGAAACCTGAATTACCAGGCATACCATGTGAAATGTCAGATGTGGGTTATTTCTTAGTGATTTTTAGTGTGTCCCAGACTTTGATTAATTACCTCTTGGTCATTTTCAGATGCTCTCTTCGCACAGTGGTGAACCGCCCGACCAGATGCCAGCCGTCTACATAATTTCGCGGCGGCTCTCTGAAGCCCGTGACGGCACATGGACACACTGTCCGCAGAGGAGCCGACACGAACAAGGCGCAGGCCTGCTATAATGACTGTGAACACCGGAAGTGAGTCCGCTGTGCCAGCGCCTTGCAGCGGCGCTAAGATGTTGGCCGACGCCACGAATGTGCTGGCCAGGCTGTGAATTTGTAAAAATTTGACCTGTGTGCAACCAGTAAATTTGTGAATATATTTCAGTGTCCAATGTAATTCATTTTGTCGTGCATGCATTATAAATGTTGAATTGGAGAATAATGAAGAGGCGAGGGGGTTGCGGTGGCGCAAGCAAAGTGGTCGCATCTGCATAACAGCAATCTGCGGTTATAAGACTGCGGTTAGTATGTCAGATACCTACGGTATTCCCGAACCGGCCGTGCGGGCCGAGTTGGGACATCCCGATCGGGATCGGAGTTCATCGCTTGTTAAAATGCCATAAGGCGGTTCGGATGCGTGCGGGATTTCCGAACCGGTTGTGCGGAGAGATTTGGGGAATCCCGATCGGGATCGGAGTTAAGCGCTTGTTAAAACGTTATAAGGCGGTCCGGATACGTGCGGGATCTCCCAACCGACCGTGCGGGGTATGTTGGGATATCCGGACCGTTCCAGCCCGTACAAAGTGTCTCATTTCCCAATCCTGTCCCACTCCGGTCCCGATCGGGGTGGTGCGGGCTGAGTCCGAAAATCCCGATCGGGAACGGAGTGGGATTGCTGGCTGGGTACGACCCCCCTCGCCGTTTCGCCCCTGGTGGAGCTAGCGCGTCGCGGAAAAAACGAGCGTGTGCGCCGTTACGAGACGCAGAGATTGGTACCCGATTTTAAGGTCCTAGGTCAACCGGTGACCTCTGAGGTCAGGTCAAGTGCCCCAAGGTACGGTTCAGTTTTTGGTGAATAACTTCGCAAAAAATGGCCGCAGAGCCGCGATTTTGGCAGCATCGTGTTTGCCTCGCTCAGGGCGTCGAATGATATACTTTTTGTTCGGGTCAGGTCAACTTTGGATGTTGACCTCAGTTCAAGGTCAGGTCAGCACCCTAAGGTGACGAAGTTGGTCGAAAGGGGTCATGTCGCATATCATTCGATTCGGCAGGTCTTCCTGAGTCCATTGGTGGCTTCCCCGACTCGCTAGCTCAATTTGATCAAGAGTTATTGACGAAAAACTAATATGACCTTGATGACGTCATAAATGACGTCACGCAAGGTCAACATTGCAAAAGTGACGCATCTGACCTTGCAAGGAGTGCATCAAATCACGATTCTGTGCGCTTGAGATAGTGGGAGATCGTTCCCGGCGCCAGAATAGCAGTTCGAATTTTTCCCCATTGACTTATAATGGTGAGGTCACGAAAATGACCTGACCTCATATGACCTTTAGGAAAAATCCGAGATATACAAGTTGTGAGACTCATAATGGATACTAGATCCTGCAAGTTTCATTTTCCTGTGACATCTCCTCTGGCAGTGAGGGCGTTGCGAAGTTGCGACATCTGAAGACCGTGCAGAGGTTCACTTATGACGTCATAGGTCAGTGACCTGACCTGACCCAAAAATGCGGTTGGTGTCAAAAGATCCGGCTTGAATCAAAGGTCAGGTATGCCAAGTTTCAGCTCTCTATCGCCAGCGTGTTCGGAGCTATCGCGAAAAAAACCTATGGGGGGGCGGCACCCGCCCCCCCCCCCCTCGGCCGGCGAGGGTTAAGGCTACTAAGATGTGTGTAAGTTAAACACATTATAAGTGAATAAATGAAATGGATTATAAAACGCTTATCAACTTTCGTTGAAATTTCCCAACTGGTAGGTTCACTGATATCGCGGTTATTGATTACGACTACGAGCCAGTACGGAACACATTCATTAGTGATGCGCAAAATACTGGTCTCTGTGGCAGGGACCAAGTTTTTTATCCAATTTAAATGTTTGGCTGGCGAATTGTTGCCAACTTCATTCGTTCTTACATCGAACTCGGTAAAATGAGAAACGAGTGATCGTTCGATTAAAATCATTGAAAACAAATCATAGCCGTTCATCATGCACCGATAGCAATGGCTTCATGTTGGATGGATTGTGGATTCATGTTATCTATGCATATGGCATTATTCTGTTCGTTTGTGATCAATCATTATCTCTGCTTCCCACGTTGACATGGATGGTATATGCGATGGTGTTTCTCATCATGACTTTGGGGATTTCCTTGTATGTCATGGAGCCGCGATTAATAACCCTTCTCAGGCTATTGCACGGAGCGTTTATAACGGCACGAAATGGGCCGGTTACACATGACCTGGCCCGCCTCAACTGGCGATCAGCAGTCACTGAACTGAGAAGGTTCACCG